TGCCTTCCTGATTGCCCCTAACCACTTCTGCCTGCCAGCCTGATCACCCCCTAACCACCACCATGCCAGCCTGATTGAGGTCTAACTGCTCCCCTGCCAGCCTGTTTGCCTCCAGCTTCCTCTGCAGGCCTGGTCATCCCTAACTGCCCTCCCCTACAAGGTTGATCGCCTCCAACTGCCCTCCCTTGCAGGCCTGGTCCCTCCCCTGATGGCCATCTTGTATCCACATGAGGGCAGCCATCATACGTGTTGGAATGATAGTCAATCTGCATAACTCCATATTGCTTTCTATGTGGCTCCATCAATTGGAACTCCCATCAACAGCACACAACGGTTCCCTTTTCCACATGCTCACAAAGACTTGATTTACTGATGATATCCATTCTGACAGGTGTGAAGTGACATCTCATTGTAGTTTTAATTTGCATTTTTCTGATGATTAGTGATGTTGAGTATCTTTTCATATTTCTTTTGGCCATCTATATTGTCTTCTTTGGAGAAGTGTCTATTTTTGCCCACTTTTTGTGTGTTGAGTTTTATAAATTCTTTATAAATTTTGGATATTAATCCCTTACTGGATGTTCTGGAGAAATAACTTGTGAATGTCCAACAACAGTAAGATGGTTGTCTAAATTGGTCACAGAATATAGTGTAGCTACCAAGTCAATGTGTATTTATTAACAGGCAAGTTTAGAAATAAAACAGTACAAATTCACTAACAATAGTTCATTTAAATTGTTTAATGAAGTCCTTAAAAAAGCAACATAAGCTTGAAACGGGATGCTTTAGAATAAAATCTAAATTGTCAGACCAAGAATTCTATGCATAGAAATGAATTTCATTCATTGGCTGGCACAAAAATATAAAGCTTATAGTATTTACCGTATCACCTTTACCAATGGTTTAGAAATTGTGATTCGTTTTTAAATTTTATGTTGAACTGAAGAATGATCTATGTGGATGTCTCAGATTGTTTTATACCAAGTTAACACAAGACTGAGATTAAATATTACAATATGATTGTCACCGCTTCAGCAGTTTCTATATTCCAATTGTACAGTTATGAGAAAGTCCCAACTCAGAACTGTGTAGTTCAAATGTTACTTTTCAAGCATTCCTAAAGCAATAGATGTAAACTAATGGGAGTCAGATGGTTAACTCATTACAAAATTAAAATGGTGTCAAAAACAGGTATAACATCAAGAAAAAACAAGTAGTTTGTACTTTATTAGGCTTTTAAAAAAATATACATTTCGTTGATTTTTTACAGAAAGGGAAAGAGATAGAGAGCTAGAAACATCAATGAGATACAACGATCAGCTGCCTCCTGCACACCCCTCATTGAGGATGTGCCCGCAACCAAGGTACATGCCCTTGACCAGAATCAAACCTGGGACCTTTCAGTCCGCAGGCCGATGCTCTATCCACTGAGCCAAACCGGTTTCGGCTAGGCTTTTTATTATTTTCTCCCGCAACCTAAGTTCTGAAATCTTAAAACTCTTTGTTAATCCTTATCCAAGGATACTTTCCCATTGATTTTTAGAGTGGAAGGGAGGAAGGGAAGAGATAGTGAAACACTGGTTGCCTCCCAAACACCCTGACCACAGCTGGGGATGGAGCCTGCAACCCAGGTATGTACCCTTGATTGGGTATTGAACCCAAGACTCTTCAGTCTGAGGGCAGACAGGCTAACCACCGAGCCAACTGACCAGGGATTAAACTTTTTCTTGAAGATGTTATTTTAGAACATGATACCCAAGTTTCAACCCCAGCCCATATCCAACACAATTGAGCTTTCTTGCTTTTAAAATATATTTTATTGTTTTGGGGTTTTTTTTACACAGAGGAAGGGAGAGGGATAGAGAGAAACATCGATCAGAGAGAAACATGGATCAGCTGCTCTCTGCACAATCTCTACTAAGGATGTGCTCACAACCGAGGTACATGCCCTTGACTGGAATCAAACCAGGGACCCTTCAGTCCACAGGCGGACACTTTATCCACTGAGCCAAACCTGTCTGTGCACAATTGAGCTCTTTCAATTTCAAATATTTTTCATGTGCAAGTAATAAAGGGGAAAAACCCCAAACCCCATTTCCCTTAAAATTTCCTCGGGTTAAACTGATCTAATCTCAAGCTTCCCTGTTGGAAAATGTAAATCTCAAAAAAACAAAACTACTCTTCAGTTATGCACATATTTCCCTTGAAATAACACATTTAGAATAAACTATTACTTTTATAAATGGGCACTTCCAAAATTATGTATTTTTTAAAGAATAAAACAAGCCTTAATAGGATTCATTCATACACATTCATGCAATCTATCCTTATGCTTTATTCAAAACTTCACCTTTTGATAATTTTTTTGCAGAGCACTATCATTTGATGGTGGAATCAACTGTTGAGACATACATCAATAGGAGTTAAGCTAAAACATGGGAAAAATAGTTCTTAACTGTTATTACCCAGATAAAAAAAATATTCAATAAACATGAGTGCACCAATGTGTAAACTAAGAGGGAAAAAAACCACCTAAAAACAAACAACAAAATAACCCTCCCCTTAACAATAAAAACGACTTATTTGGATCCAAAATGGGGGGAGGGAGAGAAAGCTCATTTCCTTCATTAAAAATCAGAGCGAAACATCTATAGTTAAACAACTTTATTAACATAGTCAAGCAGTGATTAACATTCACATCTATTATGTCACATCATACAAATGTAAATACAAAATTACTACAGTACAATATATATTCTCTGCATGATCCAAAATATTTGGTGGCCCCAAAAAACTCTCTTTAAAATTCAGCAGCTTATCAAAAATTAAAACCGTATTCTATTTAAAATGATGATCTGTTAGCACAGAGTTAGACTTCAAGAAATATCAATTTAGTACAGTTTGAGAAGTTGCAGGAAGGTATGTTTGAAGGACACATTCTCACATAGTGTGGCAGGTACAGGAAACATCAGATTTAAAGCTTTTAAGCATAACTCATACAACCTAAGTTGTCAGCAGAAAGATCCAGTTATTTATAATTAAAGCTAAAACTACTACATTATTGCACCCAATATTATTAACATGAATATTAAGTGTAAAACTTTTTTATAACATGAAGTGATTAACCATGTTTAAACACCTCTTCTCACAGATAATCTATTAAATAAAATTATACAGTATTGTCTAATTATTATCTCCATAAAAATTGTCCAATCTTAATTTTGTTAAATATCCACAGAGGAAAAGAGTAATGAAGTGAATGGTGAAAGTACAGTGGAACCCCTTTATGAGGCCGGTAGGAGGGGACCAACATTGCCTTGGAGGCTAACCATGTTACAGAATTAAGACTTGTAAAATATGAATTTGGCTTAATATCAAGCCATAGTACAAGGGGATCCTATGATAAACAAAAATTCTAATAAAAGGGAAAACAACACTTTCCTAATTAATGATATAATGCTTGGCAAATTGAGTTTGATTTAAAAATGTACAAGAGGTGAAAAAAATCATTTAACTTCCCTCAAAATCATGCATAAGGTGAAAAAAAATCATTTAACTTCCCTTAAATTCGTGCATACATTGAAAAATACATCCTGGGATACAAATGAGAATAAACAGTTGCTATAATTTAAATGCATATCTTAAAATTAATATGTATAGTAACTAAGAATAAAGATAAAGAACTTTATACATGTAATACCAATGGAGGAAAGATCTACATAAGACTGAAAAAATTAGTCACAAGTCACCTGAAGAGTGTACAAGTGAATGAAACTTTATGTAAAATGTAATTTTTAAGAGGCATTAGAAATATCATATTTAATACAGTATGAAAAGTACTAAGTAGATATACAATGCTCTTGCATGGTATTACTACTAGATAATGTCACACAGTTCTTTATTGATTTGATTTTTCATCTAGACTATCCCAGGCCTTTAACAATCTGAAGACCAGTTATCTTAAAGATTTTAATGCCTACACTTCAATAACAATACTACTAGCAAGTTAGTGCTTCCTCCTTGTACTATCTGCAAAAAGTAATTCAAGCAAAGCTGTATTTTAAGGTACTATTAAAGGAAGGATTTAAATTGCAGTTATGCATGATACAGTCTTCGCTTGGGAAGAATGTTTTTGCACCGTTATCTGTTAATACATTCAATATGAATAATATAAATTATACAAATAAAAAAAAAAACACACCTCCACTTTTTTTTTCCCCTTTATGGCAAAATATTTGTTAAATTTAAACTAAAGCGTTTGAGACAAATTCTGGCATTTCAGTTATGCAGAGTAATTTAATACAGAATAGAAAAATGTCCACATTGCTATCTTGAGGGTTTGAAGAAAAGGAGGACCAAATTATAATAAATTCATTTTCAAGATAAATCTACAGGAGGGATTTACACCACCCTAGTCAGCTAGAATAAGGACGGGAAAACCAGACTACATGGGAAGAGACTTCATGAAATAACACTAAAAAACAAAGACTATAAGTATAATGATCCTTTACAAGCATTTGTCACCAAAGCAAACAGGATACAAGAGTGTTCACCTGAGATAAAACTTGTATCTGAATATTTTGTAACTGAGTAGACAAAGCATTTCAATAGAGGAAAGTCAGCGGAAATTATTTTAAAATATACATCTGATACTATTTTACAATATATGCAATTTAAGCAATTCAGATCAATGAAAAAGTCTTAACAAAAAAATCACAGTGTTTATCAATATGTTAATTATAAAATGTATGCTACTTATTTTGTTTTTAAAGATGTAATGGCTTGGTTAAGTGTTTTAAAATCGATTTTTCTGAAATCTAACTTGCATCACAAAATCAAGTAGCAATAATGTAAAGCATCAGAACTGGCTCTTAAAGATTATTTACATATTGATTATTTGGGAAATAACCAAAAAATATAAAAAATTGATTTTTTTAAACATAGTATGAAGTTATTGAAGAGATTAGACAATACAAAAAGCAAAATTCTTTCCTAAATAAATGAGTTTCTGTGGCACTAAGTTTACTAATGGACTAAAAAATGAACTGCCAAATATGCATTTAAATTATATTAAATACACTTTCTGTTTCCAACTTAGGTTGATCAGCAGCTTTTGTTCTGTTAGAATCCTTCAAAGAGAGAAGCTCAAACAGGAAAAAGAAGGCATATATAAAACAGTAAACACTGACCTCCTGAGGTTCCTACAACATAAAAATATTCAAGTAGAAAATCTACATCACTTAGCAGCGGCTATGTCTGTAGTTGAGCACACCAACAGCGCTTTAGTGTGTAAGGAGCAGATGAAGTAAGCCGTGCTTTAAGCATGCCAAGAGGCTAAAACACTGGAATGTAACAAAGACAAACTCACAATTTCAGAGACACTCAGTCAAACATTCAAACCTACTAAAAGACTATACTACAAGAATTAAGTTGCTTATAAACACACACATATATATATATATCCCATGATGTATTAGAATAAATGCTAAATCAGAGCTTACCTCAAAAGAACTTAAATGGCTTCTGCAAATTCTTATGCTATACTAAATATCTGAAATATAAATTAGAAACACAATACCTCATGGGGAGGAGGGGAAAAAAAAAACAAAACAAAAACCCAACCCAATCTCAGGTTGCCAGTTACATTTAATTTATTAATTCTCTATTTTTAAATTAAATTTTCTTTTAATTAAAAAACAGGTTAAGTGGTTATCAAATGAGCATATTCTTATGTGAAGTATCTGCCTAGCTGAAATCAATTTTTAATCAACCAGGTGACAATATTGCTTTTTCAGTCAACATATAATTACAGGTCCAAATAATTTTATTGAAGGTTGTTTTTGTTTGTTTAAAAGCGTTTAAAGAAGAATTTTGCCATTTTCTTTCAATCTAAAATATTACCTATTCTAGAATATTAAAATATTTCCCATATTAAATTGTGAAAAGTATTTAAAAAACAAACTAGAGAATACCACTAGAATTTAAGGATAAAACAGCTATCCCTATTAGGTTTTTAAAAACAATCAGGTTTTAACTAGGTAGGAAGCAAATTTTGAGCTTCCAGTAAAGTAATGGTAGTAGAAAGAAAAAAATGCTACATCCACTTTGAATCCAACTTATAATTTAAAAAAAAAATTCCTTTTTTTTGGATAAGAAAATAGCATTTAATTTTAGGCTCTACAGACTGAAATTTGCAAAGCCGAAGTACAGGAAAGAAGATGAAAGAACATGTTAAAAAAAATACACACACACACACACACACACAACAAAAACCTTTCTGCATGCTACCATGCATTTGAAATTTTTTAAAACGGTATTTATAAATTCACACGCATACAGCTCAAACTTCAGTGCAATGGCTTTATCATTCAACACCTTTAGAAGAACAGAACCATGCAAAGAGGAGCAACTGCTTATAAAAATGGTTATTCAGTATTTATTCTGCAATGCAAAGGTGACAAACTAAAATATAAAAAGGTTGTTATGGCTTAACATTTTTGTTGCAGATTAAATATGCAGCATTGAAAAATGGAAAGGTGTGGCTTCATCTCTGACCAGCAGAGTTAAAAAGAAAAATCTCTCCATTTTCCTTCATCATCATGGGATACACTGTTCAGGCAATCCAAATTAATAAAGACTTGAAACTTTATATGGAGATAAGATCAAGTGTACCAGTTAGGATTTCACATTCACAGTATATAAGAAAATACACATGGAAGGAAAAGTAAAGGGTTAACTTAACAAGGATTTATTCACAGGAATACATGTAAGTAGAGAAAAATAACAGAAAAGCTAAACAAATGAAATGAAGAGGATCCAAATCAACTTTCACTCTGTAGCTTTTTACTTGCACCCTGTGTGCATATATCTAGGGCACAGAGGGCCACCAACATGCGCCAATACAGTGTAGGAACCCTGCATTACATCCATTAACTTAAACATATCCTTAAGACCATGCTTTGAACAACAACAAAAAAGCTTAGAAGGCATTATGCTGAGTGGGAATAAACATTGAAATATAGCAATCATGTCTTCAACTTCTACAATTGTCTTTATGTGCCAACTAACATTTATGTAGCCTCTTACAGATCTTTTACCATGTAATTGAAGTTTTGAAATTTGATGAAATCACTAGTAGTATATAACCATGCAGAAAGCACATCACACTGACAGCACAGAGGCAAAGATTTTGCACAGGTATATCAGCTTTCCACATTGTGCAGGTTACACACAATACAATATCAATCTTATTCCTAACAGATCCTAAAAAGGTATTTTCAAGGCCTAGCTGTAAACTACAGTACTTTATATATCTATATTCTTAATAAAAATAAAATCCACAAATCTTAAAAAGGAATTTTAAATGCAGGGCTATATTGAATTGGTAAACTGCAACACAAACTGGCGCAACAGAGGTAAATGAATACCAATCTCACTCTACGTGATGCAAGCATGCTACTTACTTTCCCACTAATTTACTTTCAATCACTATGAGCCAGAATGCATGCCTGAACCTTAAACTGCACTTTAAAATTAACGTCTTGGCCTAGAAATTAAATCTAATGAAGTACAACCATCAAATTATATCCACTACATTAATGTTTTAATGCAAAATCAAGAGTTCTATCTTCTGTTTGATATGTCCAACCCCATTTATTCCTCCCTCCCTGCCCACCCCACAAAGGTAAAATGAGTGACTCATTTGGCATTTCACAGGGTGCTTCATTGTTTAAATTAGATTTTTTATTTCCGACTTTTTTTTTTTGGGTGCCTTATATTGTAACTTCCAAGAACCTGCTTCTAGTATGGTTCAGCAAGCTGATTTTAATTCTATTAGCTTCATTTGTGTAGTTCTTTATCAGCATGCAAAAACAAGGCCCCATCGTATGGGAAAATTTATAAAAACCTTTAAATAATAATAAAAAAAAGCTTCTTTACTGTTTGTAACCCCCCATTCTTAGGTTTCCTTTATTGTGCGCTATATAAATTTTCCTCTTTTATCCCTATGCGTCATTTATATGGTTCTTGTTTTGGTACAATTCCCCATAATATTCCAGAATGTACTGTTTTGTGAGTAGACTGAATAGGTTTTGTTTTTTTGCTTCTTCAAATCCAGTGCGGAGTTGTAATTGAAGACAGATTTCCACCCACAAAGGCTCCAGATGTTAAAACGTTTCCCAACATCGACAATACAGTGACGGCAACACCTCCCTCCCGCCCCTCCCAGTAGGGTTGGGATTGTACTGTATTCCCTACTGGTTTACCCTTCCCCCCTGTAAAGGGTAACATTTTCCCTGGGTGCAGAGGCTCCCTCATAGTCTCGAAGACTGAAGGACCTGTAAGAAAACAGTTTTATAGTTTAACAATTGTTTCTCTTTTAAAGTCAGTGAGCCACAAACTTAATCAAGTAATGATGCTATCTCTACCTAAAGAAAATGAGAAAGTGGACAAGTTGCCTAATGATAACCATGTTGTTCCTTTTCCAATAGTCTCAACTGTCACCTGCATCAGATACAAAAAAGGGACCCCAAGCTGGGGACAACCATAGAGAGGTGCGTAGCATTTTATAAAGACAAAAAATCCTTTTTTGCCAGTATTCCCAATATAAAGCAAACAAAAATCCAATCTATATTAAACAAAACAAAACCCAAAAGCTCCAAGAGCATTCCTTATTTTGTTGTCTGATGTTTTCGCATAGGAAGTGTTAAAGGTGTCCACTCCACTCAGCAAATGTAAAAAAGTAAATTTTAACACTTTCCCCCCTCTTTTAAAATATATTTTCATAGATTTGAGAGAGGGAGAGACAGAAACATCAATGATGAGAGAGAATCATTGATTTGATGCCTCCCTCACACTTTCACTAGGGATCAAACCTGCCACTTGGGCATGTGCCCCAACTGGGAATTGAACCTCGGCCTCCTGGTTCATAGGTCCACACCCAACAACTAAGCCACACTGGTAAGGCAACCTTGACTTTTTGATGCTACTAATTAGTAATTCTTCTTACCCTATTTCACTGTCATTTTCTATACTCTCAGAACCCTTGATTTTCCTAATAAGGACTTTTTCAGTGGTATCATTTTTAATGATGAAAGTGACACCAAGAAATATAGATTACTGGGAAAATGTAACTGGTATCTGACAATGGAACTTTCACAACAAAACTCTATGAACCACTCATGCCAAACCTTGGACATTTATGAAAGTTCATGTGAATTCACAAAAGTGACTAACCCATCTGTGAAGAAGTACAAGAAACCCCTTTACTCTGCCTTTGAAAACACAGTAGAATACAAAAAAAAAAAGGCAGGAAAATATACTGATTGACTTTTATCTTTAATTAGAAAACTAAGAATTACTACATTACCTTGTCTTAGAACATGGTCACCTCAGTTAATGCATAATTGATGATATGATAGAGACAACAGAAGGTAATAAATTTGGAAGTGCTTGAGACTTAGCTCACAGTTGAATCTTTTTGGCCCTTGATGCTGAAAATCATTCTCATCTATTGCATTCTCATGATTTAAAATTAAGTGAATCAAGCACTTTTCCAAAATGTTAAGGCCATAAAACAGCTATTAGGACACAAGACCCCCAGGGACAACTCACACAAAGAACTCTGAGACATTCCAGAGGCTGCAAGTCTATTTCTACTGTCTTTTAGGTTAACTAGACAAACTGGATGTTGGAATCTTTCCAGGTTTAAAACCTAGCTCAGAGTAAACAAGCAAGCAAGAAAATAGAACTCCAACACAAAAGGTAATTTCAATTTGCTACACAACTGCTAAACACACAGAGTACATTCTCTGGCCTTCAGTAAAATATGTCTCAGTTTTTATCTAAAACCTAAAGTATAAACACTGGTTCACTGTACTTAACATTTGTTGAACCAACTTATTGTGTTAGGCAACATACCCAATTTTGGCATCAGATATTGTAACAGCATTTAATCCACAAAAGAACTCAATTAAAGAACCGAGGCCAAGAAACCAGAATTGTTAGTTCAACTTAATAAATATAGAAAATCTCAAGAAACAAGAGACCAAGTGGACTCTCTTTCACCCCAAATCAAAACAATCTTCCACTGCCCATTTAAAAACAACAGTGCTAGGCCCATTGGTAGGTGTTCATTAAAAATGTACATTGAGCCCGGCTGGTGTGGCTCAACAGTTAAGTGTTGACCCAGGAACCAAGAGGTCACCAGTTTGATCCTGGTAAGGGCACATGTTTGGGTTGTGGACTTGATCTCTAGTAGGAGGGTGTGCAGGAGACAGCTGATCAATGGTATTTCTCTCTCATCAGTGTTTCTCTCTTTCTATCCCTCTCCCTTTCTCTCTCTCAAAAAAAAAAAAAAAATCAATAAAATATATTTTTAAAAATGTATGTTGAAGATTGAATACTAAATATTTTTAGATACTGAGACAAAACCCACTTCTAGTCTACTTGGGTTTTTCCCTAAAGATCACTACATAATAACTTCTTGATATATCAGAAATTTATGCTTTAAAAATAAAACATTTGTATTCTGGTGATCTTACAGGGCAAAAAAGGCAACAGTTAAAGCAATATTACATATTTTAACTAGCATGCCAGCTTGGATTTCTTTCTATCTAAGATTTAAAGTGGAACCATGCATTTTATCTTGCTTGATGGTTCTCTAAAATATTCTACTTAAGCAACTTAAAATAGCATGAGACTGTTTTATCCAACCTCTGTAGAAAACAAATAGCTCTATTCTATTCAGTAGTTTTAGATAATAATCCTAAGTTTCTTCATCCTGAAAAATTCTAAGCTACTTACAACTTACCCCTAATTATGGGACTGCAGCTCAAGTGCATGAGGTTAAACACCATAAAAAGCTGCAAGACGCTCTTTTAAGGGAGGCGGAAACTGGTCAGAGAAACGCCTCCAATTTTCATCTCCAACTTGATTTTTAAATCCATGAAGGATCTGCAAAGAGTGAAAAAAAAAAAAAAAAATTTATCAATAACAAAAGCTAAAACTCAGACCTGCATAGCTTCAGAAATAGAAAACTAGTGATTTTATTATTTTAAAATTTTATCCATTTTAAAGTAATAATTCTCAAACTTTGTTGTATTATATAATATTCTATGTCTTACCTAAAAGCACCTCAATGAACATGCTAAACTTTTGTTGGAAGTTTAGAATTTAACAAGTGTAATAGATGCTAAGCAATCTCTGATATACTACTTATGAAAAATAAAAAGCATAGAATTCACTCAAAGAAATAAAATTTCTATGCTATACTAAAATTTGTCAAGTTGGAAATATACAAAGCTTTGGGTTCCTGGCTTTAAGTATATATAGTTTACTAATTTTATTTTTATTAGGCGATTCATACATGAAACAGCATCTTACTTTTTTTTTGTTATCGTTGAGTGCTGACTAGAGTTAATCAAATGGGGGCACTACTAAAACAAAGAACTATATGAGCTTAATCCCCATGGAGACCACTTGGATTTACTTCATTTAAGTTTGTGTTATACTCTAAATCTTAGCCATCCATCCTTGAACATGTATGTTAATTTGCATAGGTGGGATAATCAGACCACAGGTATCAGTGGTACTGCTTGAAAACAACTTTTTTTATTGAGAACAAAGGTTTAGGTTGTATAATCTACCAATATTGATTTGAGGAGTCTAGTTTCATATGAAATATAAAAATAATTCAAACTTTCCAACTAGGACTGTAACAATTCCAAGATGTGTATCGTAAAAGTCTTTTTAGTTACCTTACAGAACATGTCTCTCAGATCATCTTTTGGATTAATCCATGATGCAACGGCATCACAAAAAAATATAAAATCCTGTAACAAGCAAGAAATACACTTTAAATTGATATTATATTTGTCAAACACATGAAAAAAGACATATAGAGATATATAAAAAAGATATATTATGATATAATCCTACGCAAAATTAAAAAAAAATCAACTACAATCATAAAAATTGTAAGTGAATTGCTTAACTTTACCATGAATGTACCTCTCCTCATCCAGTTTATATTGCAATTTAATTCCCTTTTATGTTTTATTTTTACATCTAAAAACACATCTAATAAATGTTTAATATCAGCAATGAACTGAAAGTACTAAATGAACATCAATTAAAAAAGCTTCATTAAAGAATTACATAAATGAAGTAGTAATATAATTCTAAATAGCCTAAAAATAATTTAAAGTTAGTTAAAAGCATACAACAAATTAGCTTAACTTGAAGCATAGAAATGGAAAGATCTAAATTTTAAGACTAATCTTCATATAGAAACTGAAATGACCAAGTTAGAAAAAATGAATTATATAGCTATAAATAATACCCAACCCAACCCAACCCATTTCAATAAAAAACAAAAAAGACAAAACCCACACAAACAAATGCTTAGACAATTTAAAAGATAATCAGATTATTCTGACTATAAGAACAAAGTGACAACAAGCAAAGCCTTTAAATATTTAAAGTTTTTATTTATTTATTTATTTATTTATTTATTTTTAAAATATATTTTATTGGTTTTACACAGAGAGGAATTGAGAAGGATAGAGAGTTAGAAATGTTGATGAGAGAGATACATCGACCAGCTGTCTCCTGCACACCCCCTACTGGGGATGTGCCCGCAACCAAGGTATGTGCCCTTGACTGGAATCGAACCAGGGACCTTTCAGTCCGCAGGCCAACACTCTATCCACTGAGCCAAACCGGTTTCGGCTAACTAAAGTTTTGTAAAAAATAGATTATCAAACTAAAAACACTCAAGATACAACATTCAAGATGTAGCTGGGGTCCTGATATATTTACTACTTTAAATTATCAAAGTGTGATATTAGAAACTTAAATATATGTACACACATCTAGAATTTGTGATTAAACATTTAAACATAAGAAAATGTAAGATTTTTTTCTTTCAACTATATCCAAATACATATGTAAAAAGTAGAAATGTCTACTAATTCGTAAGTTGGTAGTTATTCATGACCATATATATACATGTTACTTCATGTGTTAATTAAAAAAAAAAGTAGCTAAAATTCCAATGGGAAAATGTTCCTTTTAAGCATAGTAGACATGATACTTCTAACGCACATTTAAGGTGACACAAAGTTCTTAAATAATGAACACAAACTCCCCAACTTACTGCCAGGAGGTTATTTTGCAAGTAGGGACCATCTCTAAAGTTAGTAAGTTATTGTTTTACAAATGTAAAATTAGTCATGATTTTTTCCAGTTCTAGTTTATAAGTTTTCAATGCCTGTCACCCACATTAATCTGGTTTTTATGAGGTGGTAATGTAATGCATGTTTATAAACCTGAATTAAACAACAGAGTACTTAATACAAGATAGAAAATATTAACAAATGATTAAAATACCTATCTCTTGGAAGAGAATGGTCATTTTCTTGAAAACCCTGCTTATATTTTTACCCTTTACAATTATCTGTTGAGGAACCTGGGACTTTTAACTGGGAGTGCCACAGCTTGCATTTTATTGATTTCCTATACATGGTGACAATTAACATATTTCTATTTTGTGTGTCTTGCAAATTTGCAGTTGGATTCAGAGATCTAGCCAGATTCATGCTTGATACTATTGCCAAATAATTTTTTTTAAATACTAAAACTGTCTAAACATAATAAGAATTAAGGATTAAAATAGTTTCAAAGGCTGATTTACTATTCTATTTTATTCACTATTGAGTTTGTCAGTTTGATTCTAAGTAACAGAAAGAGTATTCCACTCTATAATCACACTCAAACTCAACAGGGATGGGAGACTTATACAAAGTAAATAAAAGAGGTCTAAATGTGAATGAACAAAGCTTTGGCTTTACTCAGTACAAGAATGAAATTGCATTCGCTCAATCTGCTACTACTGTATTTCATGGCAAAATATTTAGAACATTAAAAGTTAAGAACAAATTCTTGGGAATGTCTTACTTGAATTACTCCACTGGGATTCACACTGATCATAGTACAAATTCCACGAAATGCTGAATCCTTTTCCTCATTGTCCCTTATGTTTCTCAGAGAGGTGCACCTATTAAATTATAGAATTGAGTTTAGCATTTAAGAAAGAAGCAGGTTCAATTACAATACTAATGAACAGTATTTAATGGAATAAACACCACCATGTAATGTTTATATTAAAAGAATTTTCATAAAGCTTAAGTTTCTCATACTTCCTGTATGTGGGCCCATCTAATTTCAAATAATAAAAGCCATAAAATTCACATTTCTTATTAATAGATTACATCTATAAAATGGACAACTGATTTTAATCTCTCATTTAAATTATTAATGAGCTTGAGCCAAGAGTAAATTATCAATTTAAAAAAGACTGCGTTATGACTTGTATTCCATTAAACACTAAAATGACTGAATCGAAAGATTATCAATTGAAAGAAGCAGAACATAGGATATACTGCCACAATATAAACTAATATTTTAGAATTTATGGTATAGATGTTTAACTTTTATAGTAATAAGCAAATAAGATTTTATACATAAATTTAAACATGTATTTCTTAATGCAATCCAAGTTTTCAAATTAATTATAAAAAAACATAATGCAAAACCTAAATTTATAGAATTTGCATGCATCTTTATTTTACTGGTGGATATTTAAATGCTTTTTATGTGTAATCAAGCTTAACACAGCAAGCATGTGACAATCTTATCCCATGCATCAATTAGTCGTTAGCCACAACATAAAATAAATATACATGACGATGCTGCTGAAAACCTCACAAACCTGATAGGACAAGATTAGTCACATGGTTGGCAATGATTAAGGATTGTGATTTTTGTAACCAACTGAAAATATATCTAAAAGTGAGATAGAAAGAGAAAGAAAGAGTGAAGAAAAATGAATTAAAAAAAAAAGATTGAATAATACACACCAGGGTCTTATAAACTGCTGTAGCATGGGGGCCACCTCTTGAGGACAAACGTAACCAAGACGACCAATTGTTATTGCTAAGGTAACGCAATCACGGTTATACACCACCAAACGCCAACCAAGACATGAGCAAATGAGGGGGAAGGAGAAAAAATAAAGAAAAAACAACAAATAACTCAGAAACAGAAACCAACAGAATTTGTGTATGATAATAAACATAAGATTTCACCAGTGCTGTTTACTACCACCCCCAAAAATAAGGGGCAGCAACATATATGGCATACTCTTGAAAAAGGAAAAACAAAAGGAAAAAACTTTAAAGATTGAGAGAACACCAAAAACCATGATGAATTGCTTTTCTCGCTCAATGAAGTGTCAATATATCATACTTTCTGTTAATAAAAAGATGAGCGATTATTTGACTTAGAAATTCTTCAGTTAAAGCCAGTTGAAATTTCAGGATTTAATAATGAAATCTATGTTTTCCCCCCAATAATTAGTAAATGCAAATGATTACATTTCTGAATTGTCTACTCAAACACACTTCTCATTTAAAAGTTAAAATTTCCTTCTCACTTCTCCACATTTCTTTTTATAAGTGATTTCCATTTTTGAAAATTATCTAGGAATTTAATCCAAATTTTGGTAAAATTTTTTGTTAACATTTCCAAAACAAACCAGTGGACCATTTGTTGCCTGTTATCAAAATCAACTGTCAAATTTTAGATATTATGATACACACTGAATGGATTGAAAAATTGCTGTTATGTCAAATTCCATTCTGAAAACTCCCTAATGGTAATTAACAACTCACGTAATAGTCCACTAATTTCATACCATATTGACATAAAGGAAATTCAGACAGTCCACTGTAATGACATGAGATGTGTGGACCAATAGATCAAATATTGTGTCTTTGCTATAAAAGGCATAGCACAAAGTAGATAAACACTGTACTGATTACATGCTAATATTCTATACAAAATGGGAATTAATCAAACATATATTAACCATCAAAATTCAGGAAGTTCTTATACTTAAAAGGGCTAAACAAATGCAACTCAGAACTGTATTCTGCAATTCAAAGATACATACATATAAATACATTTATACACAACGTGAAAAAAAAAACCACACAAACAGAAAACAAACCATGAAGTGCTTTAATGGTGTTCTCTCAAAAACTTACAGGTTAACCTTTCATAAAAAAAGGGTGAGGGGTAAAGAAAAATGTTTAAGGATTACTTGAAGCAAACTACACAGATAATACTAAAATCCAGCAGATTCATATGAAGCAAGAGAAAGAAAACCTATGTTCAAAAGACACAAACTATGCAACATTCTCATTAAACAGGCAAGTATGAACAATCCAATGAAACATGCGATAAAGCAGATGATGGTCCATTGAGAAAGTTCAGTGTAGGATATACTAATTTGGAAAAAAAGCAAATAACTGCATACACTAAGGAATTGGCTTTACAAAGTATTAAGATAACCGTAATTAAGTTGCTAAAATCTATAGGCATTAGACATTGACAGTGATTTTACTTAATAATTACTTCCTTTTTTGGACAAGAAAATAAAACATTTTCTGTAGCCACTTGTATTAAGAGTAATCCAGTGAATGCCAAGTGTGTTTCTTAATCACACCAATTTGCAAAATGTTACCTACTACCTTTTGATTTACTTAGGGTAGAATCATACTTAGAATATAATGTTATAAAGCCAATTTGTTAAAGGAATTCACCAGCTGATATCCCACAAGAAACTTTAACATATATTACACTCAACATTTATCTGCAGTTACACATTCACATTTAAAAATAAATGAAATTTCTTTAGGTTTAATAATTTTATAATGGCAAGTGTTCTAAATCTGAATGTCATGTATAGGTACTGCATTCTAAAGAGACAAAAACCAGACAGGATTTTATAACCATCCTACACAAAGACTTTCACTTTTTAGCAAAAAAATCTGATTTGCTTTATTATATAAACAGTACCCATACAGCCAAACAGCCATATAACTGTTTCATAATTAAAAGATTTCCTTCCATACCAATAAACACACCCAATTTTAATTACATTAGGCCAAAATAAACTTTCTATAATCAAGAAACATAAAATTAAAATGGCCTTAAAAACAAATATTATTTAGTAAGCCTTATTTTAATCTTTGTCCAGTATTTTGGTAAGACTTTCATCGACTATGAATATATAACTGGAATTAACTTAGTTTATAAAGAAAGATGTGCCTGATTGAAAGCAAAATTTATATCTTGTATCATTAGCAAAAATTGAAGTCAGTGGAAGGAAATCACCCTGAAATGTGTTTTATAGTATGGTATGGAAGGTACTCTTTAATATAAACATGCTCTCTAAATGCAAAAGAGAAACAAGCCTCCTGAATAAAAATACCACAAAGTACTGCCTCAGTTTTCAATTTGAAGGAAAAGTATATACAAAATAGAAAATACATACGTATATACCATTATAAACCAATTATCCACTACAATGCAATCTAGCTTTGGCCATATTTTTACAGATTAAAAAAAAATCATTACTTTCAGCTCCCAGTTGCTCTCTGAATATAAAATTGTTCCATCGTTTTTTTTGGCAGGGGTCCATTTTGGGAAGTATTAAGACACTACAATAGGGGGAAAGGTGATTTTCTTTTAAGTTTCTGAAGATTTGTTATGGAATGCAGCTAAAAACAGTACATTCCATTACTGAGAATCCAAAATAGCTGTTAATAAAAAGCTGGGTTTCTAAAGCCAACTTTGGTTTCTCTATGCATCTTAATTTAAAGTTAAAAGGCAAGTAATTTTCTCTTCACCAAAAACAGTTCAGTCATATGGTACCTGTATTCTCTAACAACGTCTTTGGTGTGTTGGGTCTGTTAATGATTTCTACAAGCTGGTGCAACACCATAGGAATATAAGGCTGCATCTCTATACCTAGATCATCCCCAAAAGAGAAAAACAAAAGAAAAATTTCAATGTTAAAATACCAACTTTGCTCCCTTTTTTAACTGACATAAACTATTATTAATATGTAAGACTAATTTAAATTAAAAAAACAAAACATGAAAAAAGCAATTACAAAAATTTAAGGCATCTAAAAATTTTTACTTTTAAAGAAAAAGAAAAAAATCTTACCCATTTGAATGGAGATTTCTCCAATTGCCCATGTGGCATTATTGCAGACTGAAATGAACTCTGGATTTAGGTTGGTTCCCAATATTGGCATGAAATCAGCTGGAAAAAAAAAATTTTTTTTTAATGTATACTTAACAGTAGTGTATTATGCTTTAAAGAAAACCTACTAGGTAGAAACTGAAATGAAGACAAGAAATAGCAATATTTTAAAGGTTTTGGTAAATATTTATTTTAAGAAACTGAAAGAAGCAATATCAGAACTTTCATATGAAGTAGATCAGGAAACATAAGATTTGGAATATATCAGGTTTCACTAAAAAGAGTTGGCATAGTACCCTTGTCACAAGACTAAGAAAACTCGGAAGGGAAGGGAAGCATGATACATTACAACTTTTTTCAAAGCTAGTTTATGCACAATCAGTGATTTTGGTTTTTAAAATAACTTTTACCCTAGTGCTCAGACTGTGGTCTCTCAATATCATTTTGCACTTAAAGAAATGAAGGTCTCAGAGAAATATTTCACTGCAGGTTAAGGGCAAGAAAAGTACCGAACAAAACTGTACTATAGTTTATTATACCACAAAGAACGTAGGAGCCAACTTAAGCTACCAATGCTTGCAGGTAGGACAATTTGGGTACACTAAAAAAACAAACACAAACAAAACTCTGAAACATAACATAGATGCCTGTGGAGGATGCTGGGAATCAATGCATCATTTTGAAAACTAGCAAATAGAGAATCAAGCAATGATTCTGCCTCTCATATAGAATATGTACTTCAGGGAAATAATTTATGGATATAGAAAATGTCTCTGCATATGTATTCTCACTATTAAATGAAGAATTAGAATATAAGTTTTAAAAATCAGTGGGTTTAAAACCAGGGTTTCTCAATTTTAACAACACTGATCATTTGGGTCAGATATTCTGTTGTGTGTGGGTCTGTGGCATGCCTTGTAGGACTTTGGGCAACATCCTTTGCCCTCTTTGCCCTATATACCAGCAACACACCACCACGGTTAAACAAATGTTCTGCAGGAGCCTTAGCCTGTGGAATGAAGGGTTCTAGATTAGATTCTGGTCAAGGGCACATGCCCGAGTTGCAGGTTCAATCCCTAGTAGGGGGCATGCAGGAGACAGCAAATCAATGATTCTCTCTCATCACTGATGCTTCTCTCCCTTTCCCACCTTCTCCGAAATCAATAAAAAAATATTTTTACAAAAAAAAAAAGTTCTGCAGGAGGGGGGCAGCATACAGAATTGCCCTGGCGGAGAATCAGTAATCTAGAAAATAATAATCATTATTGGTAACATAAAGAGAGAACTATACACTGTGTACCCCCTAAAGAAGGAACATATGATCTGTAAAAGTCTTACAAAGAAACGAAATCCTTTCATACAAGTTAAACTCATAAAAGCTAAGTTAGATGGTTAATATTTGTAAGAACAAGCTTCACACAAAACAAGAATTCAATACACTTTCATTTAGTTAGGCTTAAACTTTATGATTTTAAAAAATATATCTTAATTAATGCTATTACTAAAAGTCCAAAATACAGTTATTTTTCATAAAGGTACAACTGGGAATTGGGTGAAGAAATTTCCAGTCTATAAGAATTAAGTCCTGGAAATGTAATGTATGACATGGTAACTACAGTGAACAATTCTGTAGTGTATATTTTAAAGTTGCTAAGAGAGCAGATTTTAAAAGTTCTTATCACAAGGAAAAACAATCTTTTTTAACTATTTAAGGTGATGAATTTTAACTAAACTTGTTGTGGTAATCATTTTGTAATATACACATAAGTTGTACAACATATCAAATCATACTGTATACCCTAAACTTATAGAATGTTATGTATCAACTCATCTAAAAAAAAAAAAAAATTGGAAAAGAAAAATCCCAAAGCAGAAATATATGACATGAGAAAGCCTTTTAGGTCAAAGTTTGAAACCAAGGTTTATTAAAATCATGCATAAGCAACTACCATCCAAAAGGATGGGATATAAAAATGAAGAGAAAAAAAAAAAAAAAAGTAACCAAAATCCCATTTAACTCATGGATTCGACAGCAATTCAGGTTACATTATTCAATAAATCCCTTGTTATCTTCACAGAAGACTAAGACAAATGCTATGGTATTAAAACAGAAGCAAATCATTACTTATTTCTTAAGTAAATTGCTTGAAAAGTATCCTATGGTATCTGAAGAAGTATGTTGCTTTATCATGAGAAAACCTAATAACAAGGAATTCCTGTCTTTCCTGCTTCAATCAGAGAAGCTTCAACCAGTCAAATGTATGTTTATAAATATTGGGACTCCATGAAATTACATTTTAATAATAAAAAACATAGCTGATGTTAAAATCACATCATAGCAGCAGAAAATATTCCTACCTATACAAGGCTTAACATGCTGAAAGCAAGCTTTTGTCAGATCACCTAACAGGGCGAAGGAACTCTGTCGAACTTCTGGCATTTTATCCTGTAAGAAATAAGCAGAAATTAACCCAAATGTGATACAGAGAACCAGGTTTCAATTCATTTTAATTTAACAGGTCTCACCTGCATGCACTGATACATCAGTGTTAGAATGTTACTTCGGGCCACTAGCTGCTCAATGTTGCCTCCAAGTCCTTCAGCCAGGCCACTGAGTAAATCAAGAGCCACTATCATAAAATCTTTATCTGGAGCCTCATATTGATCTGGTTGAGCATTGTTCAACTGAAATTAGACACAATTTTTGAAAACTTAGTTTCAATCAATTATTGAAAAATTTCATTTGTATACATTATACCTATCCTTAGAAAAATATTTATGATGCCCCCCCCACCAAAGATACAATTTTTTTTTTTTTTTTTAAATACCATGGCTTGTGCAAGAGTCTTCTGTACTAGGTTTACACAACGCTGATACACAGGTTCACAGTATGGAAGGAAGCCAGACTGCAGGGCTGTGGCAACTGAAGATAGGCACTAGAAAGAATAAAATATGAGTGTAAAATTTATGGGTACTGTTAACATTATGGTAAATACTTGAAAATCTATCAATTCAGATCCAGGTTATTTATGAGCTTGCTCTATTAGCCTTTTCAAACCTTTTACCTGGGTGCCATTCATTTTTGTTAAGTTTGCCAGCTGGAGATTTCCTCAGAAAAAACAAAAAACAAAAAAAGAAAGTAAAAAAAGTTCCTAGCCCTGGCCTTTGTGGCTCAGTTGGTTGGGTGTTGGCCTGTGCAGCTTTGATTCTGGATAGGGTACATGTGGGCATGCAGGTGGCAGCAGATCAATGTTACTCTCTCACATAAATGTTTCTCTCTCCCCCTTGCTCTCTCTCAAAATCAATTATAAAATAAAGTTTCTATAATGAATGTCATCTGTCAAGAGCAGATTAAGTTTATGTATTCCTGTTTTTTCTCTCTCAAATATTAGAGATATATTTACTTATCCTCTCATTCTTGTCAATGATGTAGGTGGACTTTACTGGGCACATTCTGAGCCCCTGCTTGAAAATAAAAATATATATTTATTTAGCCATAATAACTCTTCTTTTGATGCTGGACCCAGAATTAGTTCTTGCTCTTGGTCCCATAAGTTTATACTTCTTGGTTAGGGACATTCCATGGAAGAAGTGTGACCCATGAAATGATAGAGGGAACAAGAATGACAATGATATTGGCTCTACCAATATCAAGTCATTTAGGTTTAAAGTTACCACATTTGATAGTGTGTAGAGTTATTTAAATATATAAAATTTCTTTTGAATTAAAAAGTATTTAGTATACATAGAATAAAACTTCAAACTAGACAGAAAGGGAAGAAAGTAAAGTCTCTCTTTATTAGCCTCAAGTCCCAATGCTATGTCATATATACATATATATGCATCTAATATAATGGATATGTATAAAAAAATAAACTTTTTTGAACTCTGCAGGGTGTAGGGGCACCAACCTCAACTTTTGACTCCCTCCTTAAATTGTCCTTTGGTATCCTCAGGATATTGGTTCCAGGATACCCCCTTGGACACCAAAATCCCATATAAAACAAGTTAGATCAATGCATCTAGTCAGCCCTCCACATCCACAGACTCCCAAAAGGGGATAAAAAACAGTACAGGCTTTTATGGGGAAAAATATGCATATAACCAGACCTGTGCAGTTCAAACAGGCATCATCTGTGTATTAATTATGGTATAGCTATATATCTATATCAAGAAATGATTAGATAGATGTATATGATATGGAAGATCTCCATGAAAATTTATTATTAAGAAGAGCAGGTTACAGCCCTAGCTGGCATGGCTCAATGGTTAGAGCATCACCTGGAAACCAAAAGATTGCGGGCTTGATTCCCAGTCAAAGGCACATATCTGGGATGCAGGTATGATCCCTATCCCTAGTTGGGGCTCTTGCAGGAGGCAACCAATCAATGTCACATTGATATTTCTCTCTCGCTTTCCTTCCCTTCTACTCTCTGAAAATCAATGGAAAAAAATATCAGGTAAGAATTATCAACAACGAAAGAGTAGGTTAGAAAACATATAATTTAACAATATTTCTTAATATAGTAGCACCATAATTAAAATAATGAAAAGTTACATATTTATCCAGCATTCTAACAGAAATAGTTCAGAATGTAAAGTTTTTAAACACCATTACCATATATACCTATTTAGATTTGGACATTTAAAAAAAATAAAAATAAAACACAGATTAACTAAATGTTAACAGTTTAGCGTACCTCAAGTAAAGGGAAGAGATCTTTATCTTCGTCCTTTAACATGTTCCATTTCTGGATCAGTGGAGGCATTAGCATCTGAATATATTCCTATTTACAAAAATGAAAAAAACATAAAGCTCCACTGTCGTAAGTTAACAAGTCCATTTTGAGTCTATGAAAATTAAAATCCATTTAGAGTAATTGTGTAAAATAATTACAGAATGTATTTTAAGACTCTGCACCTTTAAAATTTTTAGTTCTTGCCTATCTTTTTAATTTAGGACTTTGTTCTAGTTTTAAATCACCTTTTATCTTTTTTAAAACAAAATATATACAAATATACCATACATAAAAATTACTTGGTTACAATCAGAAAGGATTCATGTAAGTTTTACTCTTTAGTGACTGAATTTTTTAATTCTGGCACTTGTGACACATAATATGGCTCTAGTTGTACAGTATGTTAGAAATGACATGTTTACCTTATTGGGGCATTTGCAGGAAAAGATTCATAAGCATTTAAGTAACTTTACTTAAACTGAAGAATCCATAAAACCAAGTAAATAAATGTAGCAATAATATAAACAAGGGGCCCAGATTCTAAAGGTTCTGATCTAAGACATTCAGAAAAACAACCCTTCAAACAGAACAAAACCAACCAATATCAAAGTAAACCCACAAACCAAGTGTCTTGCATCAAGTTTTGGTATAATTTATAAACACAATTTCTTAAGAATTGGCATACAGCAATCATAAACAAAATCTATTCCTCAACAGGGACTTTTGAGCTGTATTAAAATCCTAATACTACAAATCCAATTCCACACTCTTCTTCTATTCTGAACACTACTAGAGACAGTTTGGCTCCTTAGCCATATTTCCTCTGTATCAATCACTATTTAGCATTTTTAACCTATCACCCCAATCTCTAATTGCTTCATCTAGTGTATTCCCCATACTTGTAAGTTCTGACGAGAAAACAAAAATGTCTAGACATGATACTCTAAAGCAGTGGTTCTCAACCTTTCTAATGCCGAGACCCTCTTATACAGTTCCTCATGTTATGGTGATCCCAACCATAAAATTATTTTTGTTGCTACTTCACAACTCTAATTTCGCTATTATGAATAGTAATGTAAATATCTGTGTTTTCCGATGGTCTTAGGTTACCCTGCTGGCAGTCACAACCCACAGGTTGAGAACCGCTGCTGTAGAGCCTAAGACCATTGGAAAACACAGATATTTACATTACGATTCATAACAGTAGCAAATTAGAGTTGTGAAGTAGCAACAAAAATAATTTTATGGTTTGGGGTCACCATAACATGAGGAACTGTATGAAAGGGTCACGACATTAGAAAGGTTGAGAACCACTGCTCAAAGCTATAGTGTTTATGAAGTGGTAGATACAATAATATCTTAAATTTTACAGGATATAAAACCTTTATCTCTTTTCCTTTAGTCAATCTACAAAGTATTTTGCATTCATATGAAATGCTGCTGTAATTTCCAAACCAAGCACATATTTATTTTCATAATAGTTAACCACAGACACTTACTGGTTTGTTTAGATGATGTCCTACTGAATCTGCTAATGTTCCTATGGCATCATAAAGAATGAGCAAGTTCTTATGCTGATATTTGCTAAATGCAAAGACCAAGGTATCAAGTATATAAGCAAGGTAAGGAACAAGTTCTGTGCAAGCCTCTTCTTCTAGAGTAGCAAAGGCACTGTAATTAGAGAGAAAGAGAATATTAGTGTTGGGAAAAGGAATAGTTTAACAGCTACTCTAAGTAACAGCTACTCAGGTACACTAAGTAACAGATGACAGGTTGCTGTGGGACTGTCTGTGGAGTTATGGTAGTTGACCTATAGACTAATGTGAATCTGCTCTAATTTTGCTATTGCTTCAAGAATACAATCCTTGCCGAAACCGGTTTGGCTCAGTGGTAAAGCATCGGTCTGTGGACTGAAAGGTTCCAGGTTTGATTCCGGTCAAGGGCATGTACATTGGTTGCGGGCACATCCCCGGCAGGGGGTGTGCAGGAGGCAGCTGGTCGATGTCTCTCTCTCATCAACGTTTCTAGCTCTCCATCTCTCTCCCTTCCTCCTCTCTGTAAAATATCAACAAATAAATAAATAAATAAAGTTAAAAAAAAAAAAAAAAAAAGAATACAATCCTTGCCAGCACCATTCCAGATACCCATGGGAATTAAGCTGTAAGATAATTCTGTTGTCATAGCCAGTGAAGGGGAAAAAATTTAAGAAACAGCAAAGGCTAATGTCTAGTCAGTCACATTTGTATTTACAATCGTAAGATGTAAGCTACAGATAATAATAAAAACCGCATCAATGGTTTAATACCAACATTTTATACAAGGTTGAAAATTAGTTTCTCATTGACATACCCACTCCTTTCCCCCACAAAGGACCTTTTGTTATGAATCTGTCCTACCTGCAGGCAGCTTCTTGTACTCTCTTGTTGCTATCCAGGATACGCTTTAGCAATTCTGTCATTAATGGCTTCAGGTACGTGTCTGGGGGCTGGCTGACTACCCAATGTGCATAGCGGCTCAGAGTCCAGCACGTTATGGAACGTACAAGAGCCTTTTTATCAGAGAGGCACTGAATGAGGTGAGGAATGAGCTCAGGCAAGTATGGAATCATGCCTTGCATACAACCTAGAAAAAAAAAAACCACCAAAACTTTCAGAAAATGCTAAAATGTGGTTAAAAAGCCATTTCAATAAATATTAAACTGACACACGCATCCATGAAAAATATTCAGATCACCTCCATTGTAATAAATATTCTGTAATATCTATATTAAAATTATTAAATACTGAAATGAGACCTATCTGCTCTTAAGTATCTTCCAACAGGGTAAAGAAAGCTTATTTTACCCCTGTTGCACAAATTACGACTTTTAGAACTGCTTTTAAAATACTTCAATTTCTTCTAAATAGATTTTTACAACTAAGGACAAAATAATAACCTTTAGAGAATGATGACACTCTTGACTTACAATATTTTTTTACACTTATTTATGGAACAAAGTTGTTTTTCTAGCAATGGGAAAGCTTCTGACATCAGAGTCCTTGTCCTCTCATTCTATTTCCTTTATAATAACAAAAGCATTTGCAAAATATTTGGCTGGGGTTAGAAGAAAGCTGATGGCTATTTAGTTAATAATTGTTAACCAATCCAAAGTAAACACTTTCTAAGATGGCTTTTGGATTCAAATATTATATTCAAGGTTAATGTGGATCATAGTATTCTCTACCCCACATCAGGAAAACAAGAGCAACGCATATAAATTTGAGTCAATAAATAGTCTTTGCTTAAAGAGTAACAATTCCTTAAAGTAGCCAAGTGCACTGGTGCTTGATATTTCAAATGTGACTTAAGACTTACCTTCAGCAATTGCTCCTAAAACCAAGATGCCTGATTCTTTAACAACCCATTCATGATGAAAAAGTAATTCTTTCAAAAGGGGCAAAATATGTGGCAAAAGCTCATCACGATACACATTTGCAAGAACATCTAGGGCAGCAGCAGAACATTTCCCTGAGGAAATATTTAATTAAAAAATGTTAATCTCTATTATTGTTTAGTCATACATGTGTAAAATGAGTATTTGTTGCTATACACTTTACAAAGTTTCAAAGAATTCAGTTAAATTGGAGGCAGACTGTCACATGAAAAAATTCTTTAACAAGAATGTTTTTATGACCAAGAATCAGCAAACTAACTATAAATTGGAACAAAAGTTGCCCAAATGATACATCAAGTATGCTAGAAAACATTCTTTACAGTTAAGAAAAAAATATTGACTATCAGAGTATATAATAACACAGATTTCATTTAACACAATAATTTAGAAAAGAAAAATATAACTGAGCACCCAAATTTTCCCCAATGTGAACTAGGCAAAATAAGTGGTTAATTACAAAGTATTAGACAATAGTAATAACCATTTTTTTAAAAAGCTGAGACATTGACAAGACGCAATAACTTACTCATCAATAAGGGTCTTAAGTTATACTGTATTATAGAACCATACAAATGACTGTGCTGCCATAAAACAGGTAAAATCTAAAAGTATAGAATGTTATGAGATGCTAAAGGCCTGGTACATGACATTAGTGCAGTCGGAAGGTCCCTCAGCCTGGACTGTGCCCTTTTGCAGTCCAGGAGTCCTCGGGGGATGGTCGACAGTAGGATACCCTTGTACCCTTGTGCTGCCGCAGAGGTGGGAGAGGCTCCCACCACCGCTACTGTGCTCATCAGCCGCGAGAGCCTGGCTTCTGGCTGAGCAATGCTCCCCAGTGGGAGCACAATGACTACCAGGGGGTGGCTCCTGCGTTGAGCACCTGTCCCCTGGTGGCCAATGTGCCCTATAGCAACTGGTTATTCTGCCATTGGGTAGATTTGCATATTAGCCTGTTATTATATAGGATGATACTAGTGGCCTGGTACATGGATTCATGCACATCAAAAGGAAATTAGAAGGTAGCCAGCAGGGTGGTACTGGGCGAAATGAGCCAGACATGCCCTGAAGCCAACTTTCTGTGGTCCCTCTTGGGCCGGCTGCAAGGCTGCAACTGGGTTGGCACTATAGCTCAAAAGGCGTCTGCAGCCCGCTCTGTGGATAGAGCATTGGCCTGCAGACTGAAAGGTCCCAGGTTTGATTCTGGTCAAGGGCATGTACCTTGGTTGCAGGCATATCCCCAGGAGGGGGTGTGCAGGAGGCAGCTGATTGATGTTTCTCTCACATTGATGTTTCTAACTCTTTATCCCTCTCCCTTCCTCTCTGTAAAAAATCAATAAAATATATTAAAAAACCAAAAGGTGTCTACAGAGTGAGTGAGGTCCCTCAGCCTCACCTGAGGGGATCTGGCTGAAACTGGCTCACTGACATCTCACAAGGGATCCCAGAGTGTGAGAGGGCACTCTGCAAAGCTGCTGTCAGGGTGTGGAATGTAAATGCAAGTGTGCAGTAAACCAGATCCAGGGCCAATAGTGCTCCAATAACAACATAAGGTGGAATTGCGTAGCCCTGTGAGGAATTGGGCTCCTTCCTCTCTGGTTTCACGGTGCGTCAATCGAAAACTGCCACTAAGTCAATGCAGCTTGTGTTGAGCATTTGCACCCTGGTGATCAGTGTGTGTCATAGCAACCAGTCGGATAGTAGGAAGAACACTTAGCATATTAGGCTATATATATATATAGATATGGAAAAGAACTAGCAGAGTACACATTATCTAATTTCACTTTTGTAAAGTCAGCCTTTTCTCCAAAAAGAGATATATATGTTTTTCTGTGCATAGAAAAACTTCTGGAAGAATATAGAGATGGGTGAGATGTAAACAGAAAGTTTCCCATCAAATATACATTATTACTTTTGAAGAGTTAACTATATTATAATGTTAATCCACACTGCCCTCAACATAAAAGCAAGGATACAGTGGGAGTTAACTTGTGAAAGTATGAGTTTTGGATTCTAATACTAGATATGTCATCAGTACTAACTATGTTGCCCATGAGCAAGTTTGTTGATACTGCAAGGGTTCAGGAAGCCCCAGTATACATTAGATAATGTGTACTCTGCTGGTTCTTTTCCATATCTATATGCCATTAATGCCAGGGGCTTTTCTTCCAGCATTAAGAAGGGTTCAGCAATCTGGAGAAAGGCTGTGTGTAGATTAAGTAGAAATCCAGAGATGAAAGATAATTTTGAAAGGCATTGGGGGTCAGAGGAGCCTAGCTGAAGGAGTTTAGTTTTTTTTTTTTTTTTTTTTAAATATATTTTATTGATTTTGTACAGAGAGGAAGGGAGAGAGATAGAGAGTTAGAAACATTGATGAGAGAGTCATCGATCAGCTGCCTCTTGCACACCCCCTACTGGGGATATGCCCGCAACCAAGGTACATGCCCTTGACCAGAATCGAACCCGGGTCCCTTCAGTCCCCAAGCCGATGCTCTATCCATTGAGCCAAACCGGTTTCGGCAGGAGTTTAGTTCTTGTCTCAGGACCCTTTGCTTTTTATTAATACAAATTGTCCTAAGACAAGGTGGAGATACACTTCAAAGAGGAGGGTATCTGTCTACAGAGTCCACTGTCAGAATGGGGAAGAGTCTACAGCTGTTCAGGTATTTGGCCAACAGGAGGCAATAACATGTAGATTAAGCAGCCCTGAACTGTCTGGCAGCAAACAATCAGGTTTGGGGAAATGCCGTTAGCCATTCCAACAGCTGACTGCATACAACAGCTGACTGCATACGTGACTCAGCCCTTGTTGAGTCCCCAAGTTCCACCAACCTTTTGATGAAACTAGCAATTATGACATGCTGAAACTGGCTACCGGCACAAGTTTCTCTTTTTGCAGTTTCCTTACCTACGGAAGGCTGCCAGAAAGATTAAATGTGATATGAATGCCAAGTCCTTGGCCTAGTGCTAGGTACGTTAGGCATTCTAGGAAACTAAATGGGCAACAAAAGAATTAGCATTATTTAACCAAATAAATTACACAGTCCAGGCCGATGATTCATGTCCTTAACCACTTCATAGATACTAGAAATCTAAACACTCTGAATTATAGTAGCGGTTCTCACCTGGGCAGTTTTATTTCCCAGAGGAAATATGGCAATGCCTGGAAACATTTGTTGATTATCACATTGTGTGTGTGTGTGTGTGTGTGTGTGCGCGCGCGCGCGATGCTGGCATCTACTGAGTAGAGGTCAGGGATGCTGGTAAACATCATACAATGTGCAGAAAGCCCCCACAACAAAGTCACATGATCCAAAATGCCATTAGTGCTGAGGTTGAGTAATCCTGAACTAAAGTAGTGTAGTTTTAAAAACCAGTAAGCAAGCAAGCAAGCAATCAAGCAAGCAAAACACAAGGTATCTAGGTTCCTCCCAACAGTTTTTAATTAGAGTGTGGTCTAGAATGCCCACAAATAATGTGGATTTGCAGTAAAGGATGTAAAGAAACAGATTTAAAAAGATATTTTGTACATTTGACTGTGACAAAGCAATTTATATTTTAGAATTATCCACAATAATCAGCCAATTCTCATGCAAATTAGTATAAACAATAAACAAAGTTTATGGTTCCTATTTAAAATATATATATTAAAAAAGAAATAAAAAAAAAATATATTAGATAAGCAACCATTGATTGGCTGCCTCCTGCACAACCCACACTGGGGATCGAACCCACAACTCAGGCATGGCCCTGACTGGGAATTGAACCATGAACTTCTGATTCATAGATTGATGCTCAACCACTGAGACTTATTTTATAATATCAAACAAGTTGAGAAATGATAGTTGAATTATATTTAACGAATAAATAAATATAACAAGTCCATCAGAAAAATGCAAACCAAAACCATATCTACTTCACAGATACTAGGACAGCTATGAAAAAAAGTTAATTGTTGGCAAGCAAGAAACTACAATTTTAAGACACTGATGGTGGGGAAGTTAGTGGTGAAGCCACTTTGGAAAACAGCCTTGTAGCTTCTCAAAAGGTTAAGCAGTTAACAAATGACCAATAATCCCACTTCTGCGTATATATCTAAGAGAACTGAAAACATATGTCTACACATATACTTTACAGAAGCTTTCACAGCATCACTACAACAGCCAAAAGGGGGAAACAACTAAATGTCTATCAACTGAGAAATGGATAAATAAGATGTAGTAAATCCATATAATGAGTTATTTTTCTGCATGCCACAACATAGATGAATCATATACCACACATATTGTGTGGTTCCATTTATAGAAAATGTCAAGAAGAGGTAAATTCATATATACAGAATATAGACTAGTAGTTGCTTAAGGCTGAGTGACTTGGAGAAAATGGAAATGACTGCTAATGAGAATGGGTTTTTTTCTGGAGTGATGAAAATGTCCTAAAATTTATTGTGGGACTGCACAATAAATGTGATGGCTGCACAAGTCTGAATACATTAAAAACTGAATTGCACTGTTTAACGGGTGAATTGCATGGTATGTAAATTATTCCTCAATAAAGTTGTTACTCAAGTAGGCAACTGTGCTTTTCCCTCTCCGACTTACTTAGATTCCAGTCAGAAATTGTATCATCATCATCAATTTCATCATCATCATCATCTTCCTCTTCAATGCCATCTTCATCATGCTGCTGGGCCACTGTCCTTGATCGATGAAAACGTGGCCTTATATCCTGTTCACTGTCAGGAATCGTTTCATCTTCTTCAACATCACCCTGTGTTGTTTTTTTTTAAGGGAAAATTTTGGTGATAATCATTATCCTATATAAAAAAGAGGTAATATGCAAATTGACCTTCACACCCTCACAAGATGGCTGCCTACAACCAGTGTGGCAGTGGAGGGTTAGTGAGAGACAACCAAATGACCAAACATGCAGGCTGCGTGGGGCGACCAGGCCAGCAGGGGGATGATGACAGTGAGGGGCGATCAGGCCGGTGGGGGTTGGGGGAAGGAGGAGGAGGCACAGGGGGGAGGCGCAGGTAAGGGGCACCAGGCAGGTGAGCAAATAGGAGCCAGCGGTCCAGGATTGTGAGAGGGATGTCCGACTGCTGGGGTTGGGCCTAAACTGGCAGTCAGATATCCCATGAGGTCTCAGATTGGAGAGGATGCAGGCTGGGCTGAAGGGACTCCTTCTTTCTCTCTGTGCACAAATTTCATGCACTGGGCATCTAGTAGATTAATAATATGCACATGAGTGAAAGAAACAGAATACCCAGAGATGGGTCATGCATAGGATTCTGAAGTGCACCCCTTCCTTGTGAAGGAAGGAATAGACTATTACATAACACTTGTTAGATATCAGGTACTTTCATTTTTTTTTTTTTAAATATATTTTTCATTGATTTTTTACAGAGAGGAAGGGTGAGAGACAGAGAGCCAGAAACGTCGATGAGAGCGAAACATCGACCAGCTGCCTCCTACACATCCCCTACCGGTGATGTGCCCATAGCCAACGTACATGCCCTTGACCGGAATTGAACCCGGGACCTTTCAGTCCGCAGATGGACACTCTACCACTGAGCCAAACCGATTTCGGTGTTATCGGGTACTTTCAACCACATTATATTGCCTCCCATCAGGCTGGTATACTCTAGAGTACCTGAATCCCATACAGATAATATTTAAGGCATTTTTATGCTTCTATCTTTGAACTCTGTAGCATAATATATATATAAAAATAACAGAAGCCTATTTACATAGTGTTTATTTTAAATAAATGTTCTGTTAGTTGAATTCAAAGATTTACTAAATCAATAAAAACAATATTCCCCATTCACTAGGAAATAGTTTTCTTACCTTAAGTAGGATAATATCTATATCTGAGTACTTCATGCCATTCACTAACACAGGAATCAACCTATAAGAAAACAAATTCATGAAACAAAGAACAAAAAATGAATAAAAATTATGAAGAAGTCTTAATAAACTTTTGTATGCCAATAATACCAAAGATAAGCCCTGGCCAGATAGCTCAGTTGATTAGATCGTCGTCCTGATATGCCAAGGTTGCAAGTTCAATCCCTGGTCAGGGCACATACAAGAAGTAACCAAAGAATGCACAAGTGGAACAATAAATCCATGCTTTTGTCTTAGAGCATATTTTGTGCTATCTGCCCTTCTCAAATGAGTATTCCTAATATATGTTATAGTTCTTTTACAATTCATGTACAGGATCCACTAAATAGAATCTTAGAGGAGTTAAGATTAATAGTGCTTAGAAATAAATATAAAAACAATAGCAATTTCTTCCCTAAGAATTTATCCCAAATATACCAACAAACATTCCCTTAAAAAAAAAAAAACTTCACCTGAGGATGTTTCCATTAACTTTTTAAGAGATGGGGGGGGGGGGGGGGGGGGAAGAGACACACATTGATCCACTGCCTTCTATACACCTATATACACTCCTGAATGGGGATTGGTTGAACCTGAAACCGTTTGGTATACACAATGCTCCAACCAACTGAGCCACCCTGTGGGGCTCACAATGCATTATTTCAACTAAAAATAAATACAGCCATAGAAGTCAAACATATTTATGACTGGCTTGAGTTGTTTAATGTTTGAAGTGATGATTTTTTACCCTGCTACTACTCAAGTCCTGGTTGCTTTAAGAATGTCTAGGTTTTAATAGTGTAATTAGAGTTAGAGCACCTCACTATAATTATGTTTTTATCAGATTCTCCTAATGTTATAGGGCTTGGGCTTTCACTAATAGGTCTTCAGTTTTTATAAAAAGCAATATTGATTTATATAACTCTTAGAACTAGATGATTCTATGTTAAGAAACCGCAAATCATAAAAGTGGTACCACACATTATAGAGAAACGTAATAAACGGATTTCTTTCTTTCTTTTTTTTTTTTAAGATATATTTTGTTGATTTTGTACAGAGAGGAAGGGAGAGAGATAGAGAGTTAGAAACATTGATGAGAGAGTCATCGATCAGCTGCCTCTTGCACACCCCCTACTGGGGATATGCCCACAACCAAGGTACATGCCCTTGACCGGAATCAAACCTGGGACCCTTCAGTCCCCAAGCCGACGCTCTATCCATTGAGCCAAACCAGTTTCAGCATAAACGGATTTCTTAAAAAAAAAAAAAAAAAAAAAAAAAAATCCGTTTAGCATATGATGTTGTACTTAAAAGTACAACATTAGAATAAAATATAGGTGAAATTATTGCTTTCTTTGTGGGGAAAGAATTTATTGGAAAAGAAAGAAAAGTTTACTGACTATATGAAAATTAGAACATTCAAATTCTATAAATACTTAAAAATACATAACTCTGATAATACTACCACAAATTAAAACAAATGATTTTGTTCTTTGCTCATCCAGATGGCTAAGATTAGAGAAATTATAATTTATGGCTGATAAAAGTTGTGACACGATGGAACACTCTAGTGGGGTGTAAATCCATATAAGTTCACTAGAGAACAATTTGGAATATTTATGAAGAATCCTGAAATGTTCAGTCCTTTGCTCTTGGCAAAAATCATTTCTAGGAATTCTATGTGAAAGAAATGACCACTTATGAACAAAGAAAGATGCTTATGGTAATACAGGATTATTTGGTTAAAAAAAAAAGGAGCAAATAGTCAACAACTAAAGAAAAGTCCATCTTATATATGTGGTATGCACACTATGATGGAATAGTTCTCAAAGTTTAAAGACTAATCATGACCTGGATGAAAAGTAAACAATATTCAAGAATCGAAATGAGAAAAACCACAAAAGAGTAAAATCAGAATTTTAAGCACTAACTACAGCGGGATGCTACAGTAAATGTTTTACACATTATCAAGTGTAATTTGTCTTGAACTAGCCTGAATATATGATATTTGGTATATAGTAAAAACACATAAAAAATACTAACAGTGATTACTCAGGGTGGTGAAAATCCAAAACATTTTAAGTTTTCTGCATTTTAATTTTCTTCTATGAGACTGTATTTTTATTTTTAATTTTTAATATTTAAAAGTATTGCTTGCTATCTTTTGAAAAGTACTTTTCAAAAGATAGCAAGCAATACTTTTAAATATCTGATTTTAATGCAGATTAAGTCATTGTATTGTACATCTATAATCAGTACATGTTTTGTTAACTATATCTCAATAAAACTGGAAAAAATCATACAAATTCAACGCTGATTGAACAGCATTCATTTGGGTTAAAACATCCTTAACAATAGGTTAATCAAAAATTTTATGACAACACAACTAGTGGGAAATCATTTTCTTTGGTAAAAACCCCACTAGTCTATGATCAAATTACAAGGATTATAAAAAAACAAACTGTGCCATGAATTACCCAAAATTAAGTATGACTTAGAATAAACCATGCTCACGTGATTTTTAGAGAAATGTAGTGGCTTTATGAAAAATCTCTTTACTAATAGCAACAATAAAATTAAGTTCAACTTCTTTAGAACTTAACTCCCCCCGATGATAGAAGAATTCAACTAAAAATACAAAAGTGACAAATCACTATTAATTTTAAGAACAAGATAAAATTCCTAAGAAGGAACACTTACTTAGGAAGGTGTCTTACAAGTACATCTTTGCATATTGGTTGCTCAGCCAAAGTTAGCCAAAATTCACAGGCTTCTAAAGCCACGTTTTCATCTTGATCTTGGGTTCTCTGTAGCATGTACTGTAAACAAAGGAGCCTTAATATTAATCAGTTAAAACCATACAATTCAAATAAACCTCTATTACAGCAAGTTAATAGTCCTTTGCTATGGCCCATTTCAATGTATGGTTTACATTTTTAAAAAAAGCTTCCTAGTTAATTTTAAAATGCAACCAAACTTAAGAAATGCTGCTTTTGCACATTGCCTAATGAAAAGTGTTCAATGCATGTATTATTTCTTGTATGGATGTATTTTGTTTTATGAAACCGCTGAGATTTTTAAAAATGTGAGTATTAATCAAACATTAAGTCTTAGTAGAAACAGCAAAATAAAAACCTCCATTAAACCTTTCTTAAAATGAAGAAACTTTTCATAACTTATCTATTCAATTTGTCTCTTGTAAGTATATACTTCATGTATTTAAAGATATATATATGTGTATATGTAAAACAATTACAAAAGTAATTTTAAATTTGGAAAGTGACATTTCTTAGTGCAAATATAATTTGTAGTTTCCAACAAAATAGGTTTATCACGTGCTTTGAATATACCAAGCCAAATTCACTCTTACTTGGAAGAACACTGTTCCCAAATCTATCCAAAGGCATACTGTCTAAATCTCTTTAAAAAATCCTTATATGCAAAAACAAAATAAATGTAAAAGTCACACATTATTTCCCAATGTACCTGGGACTTGGAATTGGGGTTAAGAGATGAATTCTTCATATACATCCTCTGCCTGATTAAAACATCATGGCAAAATATGGCAATACAACAGTTGTGGCAGGCCAACCCCTACTACATTCCATCATATCATATCATATCCTACTACTATGCAGAGTATTGCTGAATTAAGACTCTCAGCCCTGATATGGTCCTAGCAAATGATAAAATGTCTTTCTTAACTTTCTGGTTAACTCCAAACTCTTTCATTAACTAACTCCATCTGATTCTTCTAAACACTTTATGGAGGAACAGGCTCCTCAGAGAAACTGTCATTTATTCCCATATTATACTGCTACATCCGCTTATCTCTACAATCATCTTTCCCAATGTTTTAGAAAAGGAGTTGCTGTAAATCATGGATGCCAGCCTTCTAACAAGTCTTAGACCTCATCCTTGAAAAAGAGATCTCTCTCTGTACCATAGGGACCTCTGAAAGTGAAAATGGAGGAACTAGATGCACAATATTTAATCCATTTGCAAATTGTTTTAGAAATAATTGCATCTTATTTATTCCTTCCTTTAAATATGGCTCAACTGTGATCAATAAATTTTCCAGTAAAATTATTTAATTCACATTTTAAAATCTAAATAGTTTGCTGGAACTATAATGGTGATGTATTTTCTACTCAGAAATCTCTTTGTTAACATAAACCACAAGTTGAAGAGATCAACTTTACCAGTAATGGGTAGAAAACTCTTAATGACACAAGAATACATCACTTAATCTACCACATTTTATTGAGCATTTAGCCTAACTCATACCTAGTAAACACAAATAATCTAAACATTTCCTAGTTATCCTGGTTAAAAGCTACCTATTACTATAAATATTTTTTTCTCTTTGAAACATCTTAATAAAATAAATCAGTAAAATAATAGCAATCAATCTTAAAACATCTTAAATCTCATAAAAGAAAAATCACCATAAAGATAATTTATAATTTTAAGAATATCATTTACTAATTTTGAAGCCTCCCTTCAAAATGTTATTAAATATTAGAAAACAGTGGTTCTACATTATATATTTTGTGCCCAAGATTTTTCTTGAGGGAAAGATGATGAAAGAACCTTTAAATTGCCTATGTTACCTCAACTATATTATGCATGTGAGGAAGCAGGCGATCCATTCGAACTTCAAGCAACATCACAAGTGCCCGGCACACATTTTTCCGTACCTCTGGTTCTTCATCCCCAGCCAATGCAAAGAGGTTCTATTACACAAGAAATATTTCTCTGATTAAATATTCCAATACATTAGAAAGGTTTATAAATAATAACCAGTAATCTGCAAGTTGTAACATTTAAAAACCCTAAGAAATATAGTACTAATAAAAACTGAATTAATTGGGGAAAAAAAACACACCTGAATTGGCCTACAATTCCTAAATAAAAGCTTAATATGAAAAGTGACCCAATATTATTGGAATGATCAGTCACTATGATGTGCACTGACCACCACGGGGCAGACATTCAACGCAGGAGCTGCCCCCAGCCTTCAGCCCAATTGCCTGATCAGGGCCTGCTGGCCAACCTCTCAGTCCCTCCCCTCAGCCAGCAGGCTCCCATAGCCTGGTGGGGAACAGGAGGTGGGTAATGGCAAACATGGGTGGCACCAGGCCAAGGCAGGTGTGAGCAGGGCTCTGAATGCCCCACTGGTCGCCCCACACACAGAGCCAATCTTCCCTGGCAGCCGGGGAAGATCGGCCTGGATCGCAGGCCAGGCCTAGGGCTCCTACCTGTGCACGAACTTTGTGCGCTGGGCCTCTAGTTAGATTATAAAATAAGACAAATGTAGAATGATAATTGGCAAAAATCCTAATTTTGTTAAATGATCTAAAAACCATTCTTTTTGAGAGTATGATTGGTTGTGTTTTGAGTTAAGTTTTAATTTGTGAGAATAAAACAATGTCATTAGGTCATGAGGGCACTTATTCAGTTGATCCAGAAATAAGCATTAAAATAGAATTTGATTTATCCTTGAAAATTACTGTCTGTCAAGAGATTTAGTCCTACCAACTCTGATTCTTAAGGTGGTTAACAGGTACAGATTCTATAAAAGAAACAGTTATTGAAAAATTTTATACACACACACCCCCAAGTTTCTAAAAATTAATCCTAAACTGCCATTGTTCACCAGGTCAACTGCTGAAAAAATAATAAAAGCAATCAATCTCATACTATTCTTAACAAGTTTCTCTACAAGGTTTAAAAAAAAAGTCTGAATTCTAGGATGTTTATGTAACTTTACAGATAAAGATACAGAAGTTTAAATGTTAAGTCACTTGCTAGCCAGTGGGGGAGGGGATATGAGTTTGTTTTTCATGAAATCATGATTAAGTTCACACTCATTATACTACACCAACAGCCTCCACTAGAACAAGTTGTCTCTTAAGATGATGCAAGTAGAGATGTGAAAAGAAATAATAATAAACTTTTCCTATCTCACTTCTGAGATTCTACTTTATGTACACACACACACACACATACTTTAAAAGCACTAAAAAGATCATTAAAATAAAGAAGTAAAATCCAATGTGCCCCATTGTCTTTTCCTTGGAAATCACAAAAAATCTCCAAATAGATGAACCTAAAACCTCATTTCAAGAAAAGGGGTAAGACAAAGGAGAAGTTCAAATATCAAATATGGCAATATGTGAAGTACTGTTTCTAGCATTTAAAAAACTTTATTTTGCCGAAACCGGTTTAGCTCAGTGGTAGAGTGTCGGTCTGTGGACTGAAAGGTACCAGGTTCGATTCTGATCAAGGGCATGTACGTAGGTTGTGGGCACATCCCTAGTAGGGGGTGTGCAAGAGGCAGCTGGTCGATGTTCTCTCATCGACGTTTCTAGCCTCTATCTCTCTTCCTTCCTCTCTGTAAAAAATCAACAAAATATATTTAAAACAACAACAACAAAGAAACACTTTATTTTCCCCAAGACCCTGATGCTTCCAAAACTCTGTAGCTCCTTTTTAAATTGTATATATTTTAAAGGTCAGAAAAGAATACTGTCTTTCCATCAGGTGCTCCTTTATCTTATCCTATATAGTAAGAGAGGAATATGCTAATTATCCATTACACTGTGAGGAGTTATGACTGACCATGTAACGACTGGATCATGGATCCGCAGGAGGGTGGGGCAGCGAACTACAAGCAGGAGGTAGAGAGCTACAAGAGGTGGCAGGGCAGCAAGCTATGGGGTGTGGAGGGGGAGCTGGGGGAACTTCAGGGGGCCAGTTTGGGGAGACCTACAGGAGGGCGGGGCAGCAGGTGGAGAAATACAGGGCGGCAATGACCTACTGGTGCACAGATTCGTGCACAGGGCTACTAGTATGTTAGATTACATCTTTCATTAAATTTGATGTTGTCTTAAGATGAATACACAACTTTGTCAAGGTAGGTTATAGATGCATATTACTTTCCATCAATAATGTCAAACTTAACAGACATGACATCAGCCCCTGATGAAAACACTGATAATGGAAGAATTTCTTCAGTTACTGAGGGACTACTATGTGCCAGGCATATCCTCTGGAGGGTTACTGCTCATGCAGAATGAAAAACCAGCTGACTTTTCTACAGCTATCAAGTAGCAGAGATATGGCATAAACAAGAATGGAAACTATTTAAAATGTTGAGAAATGTTCTTGAGTTTTTAATTTTAGAGCAAATTTAATCCCTTTTATTCTAAATTCTATTTCTGTATAAGATGCTGTTATGTCCATCACAGTTCCCGTAAGTTGTTCAAGAGTACGAAGAGGAAATACCATTGTAACTACAATTTCTAAAAATAACAACAGTAATAGTTAAGAAGTAGAGTGCTTACTCTGTGGCAGGCACTGTTCCTATTTACAGCATATATATATATATATATATATATATATATACATATATATATATATATATATATATATATATATATATATATATATATAAATAAATAAAATAATCCAACAAAGTAGGCTTATTCTTAGCCTCATTTTATAGATGATGAAATGAAAAACACCAATTCATTAAGATACCCAAGGTTAACCACTACTAAACTGTAGAGCCGGGAGTTGAACCCAGGTAGTCTTACTCCAGACTTCTAATATTATCTACTAACCTCTATATCAAACTAGACTAAAAATATCTTGAGGCACAAAATTTATTTCTATATCCCTAGCATCAACCACAGTGCCTGATTCATAATAAGTACTAAGTAAATGAGAAAAGCAAAACAAGATTTTCCCTCTCCAATAATTTTCCAACAAAAATGTAACCTCTGAAATGTGGCCTCTAAAAACAACAACAACAACAACAAAAACAACTCAGAAAAAATAATTTATTTGTTGAAAATAAAAGTTAAGCATGTAGGGAACTTAAACAATCCTTTCACAATGGAAACCAAAAGAAAACAGAAGTTCAGTAGGTCCTCAGGTAACTTTTCATTATAACATTGATGAAACATGATAGGAATTTAACTCTTATTTATATCAATCAATCCTATGGTGAAATTGGTTTCATAATACTTGCTTGGCTTAAAAGCCACAGAACATATTGATGACGTAAAGTGAAGACTTCGTGTACTGTTCTTTTAGCTTGTGCCTTCAGATTCTTTATCAGGTTAAGTTTATTCAGCCTCACCATACTGCAAATGACTTGGGAAATTTAATTTCCATATGCAACTGAACAGTATGTTGAAGCAGAAATTTTTATGCTGAAGATATTAAGTATACCATAATCAGTATTTACATTATGATACAAGTGGAAAAATCAATAGAGGAAAAATTTAGTTATAAAAACCATATGCAATAAACATTATCTAACCTTCTCAAAAACAAAGGGGAGGATAAATCTTACCTCAATAAAAGAATCAATGTGCAGCATCAGAGCTTGAGTTCTACTGATGATAAACTGATTGACACAAGCAACAGCATGAGATCTAGAAACAAAATTTAAAATTTAGCATATGCTCATTGCATCATTTTTCTATTTGCAAAAATCTTAAACATTCCTCTATAAAAATATTACAATGTATGTACAGCAATACATATATACCACCCTAAAAAAATGAGTAAAATTTCTGTTATTAACACAGAAATAATATGAATAATATATGTATTAAGGAAAAAATGCAGGTTTCAGAGAAATATATTATTGCTCCTATAAAGGTGAAAAAATGTCTGAAAGAACATGTGCACATTTTTAATAGTAAACTGAAAAATGGAAGGCTGGATGGTGTATAATGGGAATTTTATTTACTTACAGACTTAAAAATAAGCATTCCTTAGAAATAAAAAATTGGAACAGTCTACAGTCTATTTGTTTTGACATAACCAATTCAATGCCGCAGCAATTCTTAATGGCACGATCTAAAATTATTCTTAGCTCACAGGTCATGGTCGTGCTTGGATTTGGCCCCCAACTCAGTTTGTGAACGGGCCTAGATATTACTCGATAATGTGGCTACACCCTAACCCCTAACTTCATTTCCCATTATGCTACAATTTTTTCTTCCCTTGTCACTCTAAAAGACCTCTTCCCAACTTTGTACTTGCTGTTCCCCTAATTTCCCTTGATTTTGCAAAAATTTACTACTTTATTTGGTGCAAGGTCTGTACAAATGTTATCTTTTCAGAAAACCTTCTATACAAAATACTTCCGAAACACTGTCTAACCCTTTTTTCTGACTTTCCATAGTATTTCTCGTGAAATTGTATTATTTCCTGTAGGACTGTAGGACTCTTCTAGACAGAAGAGAAAATCACCACATACAGCACAAACATAAGAGGTTCAACATGATTAGTGCTATTTTGAAATGCCATTTTATATCTATTTGATTGGCAAAAATTAAAATGTGTGATAATACCAAAAACTGAATATGTATACCCAGGAAACCCTTGTGTCTCAGAAATTCCTTCCCAAGATTTTATGTCTTCCCTGAACCTGGAAGCAGCCAAAGGCCACTGGGTGTGCATATACATGAATAAACTGTTTGTCATGCAAAGGAATAACATACACTAGTCAAAACAAATGTGACTATAGTGACACAATATGGAGGAATCTTAGCAACATATTAAATTTAAGGCGCCAAAGATTAAATTCATATAATACCTTTTATAAAATTGAAAACCAAGATCAATAAAATTCTTTTCTAAAAATTCTAAGAATAGGATCAAGTTGGGATAAGATATAGGTTGTTTTCAAGGTCTTTGCTTTTATTATAGTTGGGTTTGAGTGATTATTAAAAATAACCAAAGATCGAATGCAAGTGGGAAATGAGAATGTGCCATAAGCTACGAAACATAACCCAATTTGTGTACCCCTAGTATGATTAAAAATAAAATGGCTGATTTTTAAATTGCTTAGTCATGTGATAGGTAAAACTGTATTTGTTTGCCTCATCCCATATTCTCAAAGTTTAATAGTTACTGTGAGAGGGAAATACATGTACAGTAAATACCAGTTAAACTATATTAATAAAGTATTAAATAATTTTGTGGATTAAGACTACATAAAGATGAAAGATATGTTCAGTGTACAGATAAAACACACAACAGATATCATCATTTACGCAAGTATACATTAAAATATTTTAATAATATATTAAAATAATATAAAATATTTTAATATATTAAAATATATTCAACAGAATCTTAAATGGGCAGTAATGAACATTGACTGAATGGAAACATTTCTGTGTTGCTAGACTGTACTTTGTTAAGTTTTAAACACATGTATTATAATAATAAAATAAATTTTTATATCCAGTAATGGTATAGCTATTATCAGGAATGTTTTTTTGTTTTTTAATTGCTGAGAACTGGTCACAAAAAAGTAAATTTCTTAGAAATATGCAAATCACCACACTTTCACACCTCAGTGGAAATGTTAAATGGGGGATACTTCCTAGGTAATATGAATTCCTCTATCTAATTTCCTATGCCAGAAGAGTAAAATTTTATTTTAAAAATATTTATTTGCATGACATTATCCACAAATAAGCATCTATTGCATTTCCTCTATGAGTTTAACACTAAGTACTGCTTAAGAGGACAAGTGAAATTAAATCAAGGTAAAAACGTAAGAACTAAATAAAGAACTTAAGCAAGAAAAAGATTCTCAGTTTTCCCTCTGGTTACACTGTTGAAACCACAATCTTTTAAAACACAGCTTGCAATTTTGAAGTAAGCCCCAATGGGTATCTGAACTAATAGTTAAAAGCCTATACACTAATGTTCATTCAGTTGTATATCCCTGAATCCTCTAGAAACTATGCAATTTCTACTTTACTTAGTAATATATTTGATTATTCTACATAAAAGCATCATGTACTGACAATTGTAAAAAACAAAACAAAAAAAAATCAAATAACAATCAGAAGAGCAATGATTTTTCCATAGAAACAATAAGCAAAGTTCAAGTTAGAAAAAGCATATATAACTGAAGGGGAAAAAAGTACAGTAGGCTGGAGAACTTTAGGTGAAATATATATATAAAAGCCTAATATGCAAAGTGCCCTTGTGGGAGTTCAATCGCTTGCTGACCACCAGGGGGTGGTGTGGAATGAAAGAAGGCCCTGGCTGGCAGCAGGCAGCTGCTAGGGACCCTACTCGTGCATATTCGTGCACTGGGCCTCTAGTTACTTAACAATTTAGATGTTATATTTGAGAAACATTTATTACACAGCTGCAAATAAAGATACTTGAACGTGGCAAGCTCATAAATTAAAAAATACAAAAAACACAACCCAACAACAAACAAACACTGTCCAAACACACTGAGTTTTAACCTTTCACAAGGAATCTTAAAAGCATAACTGTTAATCATTACAAATGTAATTAAACATGTAGAACTGTCATATTCAATGACAATTTCATCAGAAAAAGTATTTTATGGGCTTTGTTTTTAAAGGAATAAATTTCAGTTATCAAAATTCACCTTTGTGGAATATCTAATATATTTTGCTAGTTACAACAATACTAAATAATGCAAAAATAAGAAAGTTGTAAGAATTATACGAGAGTTTATAAATTAATTTAATATTAGCTATATACCTTATTTTTGGACTACTGTGCTTGAAGAACTGTAAAAATTTTGGAATCATGATGTTAAGAGGACGATCTAAAACATCACTATCTAAAATCTCAGCAGAATCTTCACATATCTTCTGAAGGGCACCAAATGCTCCCTGTAAAAGACATTTAAATGATTAGAATTAATTAAAATTTGAAGTCATTTCAAAAGTAAATTGAGGAATATTAATTTGTATGAATTGTTTTCAGTTCACATAAAATGCTTCCTCAAAAAAATCTGTAAATTTGCCGGGACCGGTTTGGCTCAATGGATAGAGTGTCGGCTTGGGGACTGAAAGGTCCCGGGTTCGATTCCGGTCAAGGGCATGTACCTTGGTTGCGGGCATATCCCCAGTAGGGGGTGTGCAAGAGGCAGCTGATCGATGACTCTCTCTCATCGATGTTTCTAACTCTCTATCTCTCTCCCTTCCTCTCTGTACAAAATCAATAAAATATATTTAAAAAAAAAAAAAATCTGTAAATTTAATCAATTTTATGACAAATTATTTAAAAATCTCAGTTTATATATAATGACAGATTTTTATTTTACCATTAAATAACTTAGAATGAGAAGATATTTTGGTTGGGAGAGATTGTAATATCCAATTCAAAACCCTAATTTCTGAAATATTCTTATTAAGTCAACATTATTTTTTCTAAGTACTATTAGTTTGTACAACTCTATACTTACATATAAATATATCTAACATTGTACCACTTCTTCTTTTCTTTTTTTTTAAGTATAAAAGAGGTCTTAATATAGTTAAAAAGTTACTTACATGTAAGACATTTATTGGGTAATGGTGACAAAATCTGTTAGAAGGACAGGCAATTCAAATTGGCAACTATTTCTCTCTAGTCATTTTTACACCAAATGGGCTAACTTAGAGCTCTTGCACACAATATGTCACCCACTTACATGCTTTACTGCTTTTAATTCCATCAGCAGCTCCCAGGAACAACTTCTCCACAGTACAATTTATGAATACTGTCTCTTTAAAGTATGACTTTTGTAAGTAGCTACTCCACAATTTCTAGACTATTGCAGCTAAAACTTTTTTTTTATTCTTAGAAAGTGCTTGCTTAAAATTTTGATCTCTTTTTAATATTAATGTTATACCAAAGCTATATTTAACCTGTTTAAAAATACAGTTGCCTTCACCTGAGGATATATTTTTTAATGACTTGAGAGAGGAAAAGGGGGGGGAAGAGAGGGAGAGAGAATGAGAGAGAATGAGAGAGAGAGAGAGAGAGAGAGAGAGAGAGAGAGAGAGAGAGAGAGATCAGTTGTCTCCCATACATGCTCTGACTGGGAATCTAACCCACAACCTTTTGGCGAATGGGACAACACTCAACCAACTGAGCTACCAGGTGGATGTACTATTTAACTTTTAATAAACTGTTACCTGATGGCTAAATATTATTCGGTTTTCCTGTAATGTTATCAGGTATTTCTAAGGCATTACTTGGAAATACATACATACATACCCACACACACACATCCCTACATACATACATATATATCAATATATGAATGCAAGTTCTTTTTTTCTTCTTAGCATCTTCTATAAAAACTGTTGGCTTATCTTCCCCGTTACCCAAGTTAGATCTGGCAACAAATGCCCCATCACAAGACCTCCTGATTTTTAACGTTAGGTTATTCCTGTGCCTTCCCTGCCCTGCCTCCAAGCCATGCTCTTGTTTGAGAGGAAGAAGGGTCACTGCCTTATGCAAAACACCTATAATAGTTTCCATTTAAAACAGATTGCTACCTAAACCGGAGCTCAGTTAATGAGAGAGTCTTAAAGTGCTCATTAACAGTGAGAAACTGCAGAGGAAATTCAGACTCACCTTCCCAAATGAAAAGGTTGCTACTGATCTGATTAGTGGCAAACAATGAGACATTACAATCAATACATGATAAAAACTAGACTAGACATGTCATACAATAAGAGGCACAAAAACAATTTAGAGAAGTTGAAAAAATACTCATGGTCTGGGAATTTGGTCAATTTTAAGTCTATCTTCAAAAAATACCACCTCACCTGATTAAGCTAGACAACAGGCATTTATTATAGATATATACAGATAACCAAGGAAAGTTTTCAAATACAAAAATGGGAGATATTTCTTTGTAGAAAATATAGTAAAGATGTTTTAAAACTTAGTCTTTATAGAAAACAGTAAGAAATGATCACTAATGTAAAACACAAAGGTAACTTTAGGTTTTTAAGTTTTGAAATATTTCTAGAGAAAAAACTTCAAAGGTTTCTCAGTATACAATAGTGCAAGAAAAATTGTACGTTGAAGCAAATATTTTTACCTCGCAAGTGTTGTAATCTTCAGAATCCAATAAGCTACAGAGTTTTGGTAAGAGGTCAGGCCAATTTTGCAATTCTCCCTTGGAGGCTATGGTTGTAATCAAAATACCTTGAAAGAAAACACACACTTTTAGGAAATCTGACTGCATTATGTTAGGTATTGTCATGTGAATAACTGCACACAAACATGTGCAACACCCTCCCCACCTGCCACTTACTAAATGCCCCAAATCAGCCTAAGACTTGCAAACCATCTAAATAACATTCATCAAGGATCCCTGTACCACCACAGCATAAATCAGATGTTTCTAACCTGTGTTTTTTTTTTTTTTTTAACACTTTCCCCTCTTTTTATTTTTAACAAGTATCTGTACAGAAAACTGCAACTTGCTCCTCTCCAAGAACAGTTTCACTAATTAAAATCACTCTATTTTATAGAAATTACAAAATAAAACGTACAAAAATGTTAGTATCATGTATTACTGGGTGAGGAGTATGCACCTGTTACATTCAAATAAAAATACATCAAGAAGCTAATAACAACCCCCCAGCTTAACCTAGGATCACAGCTATGGAGGGATATAGGTATGGAGAGAGAAAATAGAAAGTTTCCCACTTACTGGATCAAGGATGAATCACTGGCAAGGTGATCTGGGAGAACTGAGTGGCACACACTAACAATGCCATTATGACTGGATTATTTCAACTGCGTAGTGCAGCTTAGTTGTGACAGTTACACACATATGTAACAAAGTTGTGTGTTAACACAAACAAAAAGTTTGTGTTAATCATTTTCTCTGCCTTAGTAAATTTTATATTAGTAACAAAGTTATATACTTGCCAATTTTAGATCCTTTTATCTAATAAGAGTATAAACTCTGATAGGCAAATTATAGGTACTCTAAGCGTCAAAATACTAATTTTTAAAAAAAAATTTTAATAGTGCTTTTTAATAGTTATTTTGAGAATTCAGTGATACATGCACACAAAATGCTTGTTATACATAAATGCTTAATGATTACTACTGAATAAAAAATTCCACTGTGTATTTGGGTGTATGAATTCTCTTTGAATTTTCTACCATTAGTCTTGCGAAGGCTGTTCCCAATGGTAAAAAGCTACAAAATGTAAAGTTGTTGGTCAATATTTATTCTTAGCTAAACATTTTTAAGTTATTGTTCAGGGTTAATATATGGATAGCATTTTAAAGGTATCAGCCTTACTATAACAGATGTGTATTAAGACAAAAAAGCAGTAAGACTTAATAGTAGGACTGTGCCTTCTGCCAATTATTCTTTCCCGGAGTTAAAATATAAAAGAACTGAGAAAAAGAGAAAGCTCTAGATCTGCCTAAATGAAACCAAGTTGTCTTAAAACAAGCAATGATAAAAAGTAAATTTCAGTAACACCCTGGCACGAATAGACCACTAACATCCATTATTTCTGCTATGAGAGATTAAAGAATGTTGACAGTTGACTAACACATTCAAATTTATCTGGCTCCATATAATCTTATCCCCTACTAAAAGTTTTCTAATGCCAAATATAGTTACAAAAAGTGAGAAATTTTAATTTTCTGTGTACAAAAAGATGGGAGTAAAAACTGGTATGATTAACAATACCTATTAAATTTTAAATGTTTAAACAACACACTTTGACCCAGTAAATGCCACTTCTATGCACTAATTCTATTGAAAATTTCCCATAAATGTATAAACACATTAAAGGATGTTGACTGAAATAATAAAATCACAAACCAACTCATAGAAAAGGCAGTGGTCCTAAATTATCATCACTTAACGCTGCTTCATTTTCACCAATATTACTAAGCAACTACCAGGGACCTTTGGGTCTTACTGGACAAGGAACTTTTCCTGTAATCATAAACATATCCAAAGCATTCAAGACTAGCAATGAAAAATTTCCCATTATAATTTAACTTGAAACGGATGAAATTCTTATGAAAATGGTGTATCATAAAAAAACAAAACAAAACAAAAACCCAGTTACAAACAGGATAAGCAAAATTTTAACAACATAACTTACCTACGGTGGCTCTAATCAGAGGAGAGGAGTCACCAATATTGTTTAAACATTCGCTTTTAATAAAGTCTGTTACGCCATTTGGGAAGTTCTGAAAATGAGCTTTCACATTATTCTTCAAAATGAGACCACTCAATGATCGTGTGGGCTCATCTGTAGTAAAATAACAACAGTACTGAGTTTTGAAGTCATTTTCATTTTAAAATGTTATAAAGAACAGTAACTTTAAAAACATTTGCATTCAACAACTGATTACAATATTTCAGTAATTTTGTATAACCAGGAAAAAAATATCATGATTTCAAAAGATTAGCTCCATGATTTTATAGTTCAGGGTTTCTCAACCTTGGCACTATTGACATTTTGAGCCAAATAATTCTTTGTTGGGGGTGCTGTTCTGTGCACTATAAGATGGTCAGCATTACCACTGGCCATAGATGCCAGTATCATTTCTCCAAGTTGTGACAACTGAAAATGTTTCCAGTTAATGTCAAATTCTGGGGGAGAGGAATTGCACTGGGTTGAGAACCATTAATTTAGTTTAAGAGTTAATTTACTTTATATATGACCACTGTACTAAAGCTTTATTGAAACCTGATATAAACATCAAATTACAGATCTGAAAGTATTAGTTACTAAAAATAACCCATTAAAAATCAAGTGGACAAAGAATATATGGGGTGGGTCACCTTCACATACAAATAACTGCCGTTCATTTATACCAAGTTTTTCACTTCTCTGAGCTAAAAAAAAAAAAATGGGGGGGGGGGGGGGAGGGGAGTAAAACAAGTTTAAAATTTCTAAAAGTATCTTAAAAACAGAATTTACTTTCTAAAAAACATTTAATCCATAGGTTCAAATGTTCAAGAAGCAATTTAATACCTGTAGACTATAACTGATGTTACCAATTAGCATCAGCATCAACAATATTAGCAATAGTTAACATCTTCTAAATGTGTAAGCGCTTTGCAAGTAATTTGCATTTAATCCTCACAACCTCATGAGATGGAAATTATTCCCACTGCACAACTGAAGAAACTGAAGCCCTTGCCAAAGTCATACAGAACTAAGTGGGGAAGCCAAATTATGAACCTCAGAGGTCTGGCTCCAGAGCCTACACTTGATGCACTGCATAGTTTCACCCTCCTCAAAGGGCTAGAAGACACAAAGAGCTGGTATGTTGAACAGAATATGCTTTATAGCACTATTATTTCACATACCTTATAAAAAAATAAAATACCCAAGCTTGTTCTAATTAGTAGTATCCTCCTAAAATCTGACTGGCACTGAAATGGTCAGGGGTAAAACAGAGAGAGGGGCAAAAAGACAGCAAAGTTCCTTTACATGTAAACGCCATTCAGGCCACCCCAGCAATATAAACAGAGATTTTATATCACCATTTAAAATCTTCTTACCAATATTTAACCCAAAGTGGTGGTGCAGTTATATTGGGAGGATAGAGTGGAAGGTAGGAAGAGCTGTAGTCTCATCATCCACAGTAAGGTGGTCAACATATAATGTTTAAAATAAAAAATTCTACTCTTGAGAGTAGAATAAACTTTTTTTTATAAAGTCAATGTGGTGGTCAATACTGATAGAAACAGTTATAAGATTTGAAAATGAACTGAAAATGTTGACTATGAGAAGTAAAAATCAGAAGTTGGATAGGAAACTTCCCTTTTTCTGTTCAAGTTTGTGCTATTTGATTTTTAAACCTATACATTACTTTGTGAAAAATAAAAAGAAATTCAAGAAAAGAAAAATAAATAAAATCTTTATAGTTTCAATTATAACTCATTCCAAGAAGCAGACTAAAATGAAAGAAAAGCCTGCCCAGTGTGGCTCACTGGTTGAGCATGGACCCATGAACCAAGAGGTCACTGGTTTGGTCAGAACACATGTATAGGTTGCGGGCTCTATCCTTAATAGGGGGCATGCAGAAGAAGCCAACTGATGATGTTTGTCTCTCACCAACGTATTTATCTCTCCCTTCCTTTCTCTCTTAAAACAAACATAAATAAAAATTAAAAAAACATATTTAAAAAAAAAAGAAACACTTTTAACTTCTATGCAAAATTTAAAACTGTCATGAAGTAATAGCCAAATATTTAACTTCCTTAAGCAACAAACTTTTGTCTTAGGTTAGCCCAGTGGTCAGCAAACTGCGGCTTGCGAGCCACGCACGCTCTTTGGTCCCTTGAGTGTGGCTCTTCCACAAAATACCACGTGCGGGCAAGCGCATACAGTGAGATTGAAACTTCGTGGTCCGTGCGCAGAAGTCAGTTTTTGGCCCGGGCGAGTCTATTTTGAAATGGCGATAAAATACTCAAGGGGCCAAAGAGCTCCATGTGGCTGGCGAGCCGTGGTTTGCTGACCACTGGATTAGCCCATTAGTTCAGTCACATAATTTTATTTTAAATGGCATGTGTATTTATTTATAAGAAATACACTATGTTGTTTTGTTTTGTTGTTAATCCTCAGATATTTTTCTATTGGTTTTTAGAAAGAGTGAAAGGGAGGGAGGGAGGGAAACTTCAGTGTGAGAGACTTTGATTGGTTGTCTCCTGCACATGCCCCATCCAAGGCAGGGGATTCAAGCCTGCAGCTGAGGTATGTGCTTTTGACCGCAATGGAACCTGGGACCCTTCAACCCACAGTCTGAGGCTTTGGAAACTGAGCCAAACTGAGTAGGACCACTACACTGTTTTTACAATAAAGATTACAAGATGAAAGGTTTCAATATATAACATAAAGGGAAATGACTTAAAATTTTGATTTTAAATATTTTATATTAAAATATTTTTAATTAAAATGAAAAATATCCTCTGTCCAAAATCCATTCAATAAATCCATCAAGTAACTGTTGTCTTTTATTTTTAAAAAACCAGACTTTCCTTCACTGGGCCTCATTTTGCTCATTTGTAAAGTGAGAGAATTGCTAGTAGATGAGCTAATTTCTGAGGTCTCTTTCAGATTTAAACTTTTACTCCACCATTCAGTGTACACACACACACACACACACACACACACACACACACACACACACACACACACAGGAACATCAATTACATCGGTATTTCCTTCCACTTATCCGTGCATTCATTGTTTGACTCCTCGTATGTGCCAGACTGTGAATTAAATCTGCATTTGTATTGAGATGATCCTCTAACCAACTGAGCTACACTGCCAGGGCAAGAAATACATTTTAGTTAGTGTTTGGAAAACCTGGATAAAATCCTTTCCAACATTTTGTGGTTTTGTAACTAATAGGTCTTTTTGAAGGCAGTTATACCAACTTCTCTTGCTTTTGTTTGCTTTTTCAAATACTTCTCATGTACCTTTAGACACCAAGAAAGCTTTGAGAAAGAGTATATTATTTTAACCATCTTAATATTTGGAATTTAGGATGAGGACATGACAGTAGAAAACTTGGTGAAATAAGCTTAAGATTTTCAAGCGAATCACATTAGAAATATTCATTTGCTAAATAAGTTCTTTTAAAAACAAAGAGCATTGCCCTACCTGGTTTGGCTCAATGGGTAAGAGTATCGGCCTGAGGACTGAAGGGTCTTGGGTTCGATTCCAGTAAAGGGAATAAATATGACTAAGTTACGGCTCGATCCCCACTGGGGGGCATGCAGTAGGCAGCTGATCAATGATTCTCTCTCATCATTGTTGTTTCTCTCTCTCTCTCCCTCTCTCTAAAATCAATAAAAATTAAAAAAAAAAAAAAAAAAAGCCTGATATAAAAGTTTAGGGAAACAAAACAACAAAAACAAATAGCAGTGATTTAATTACCAACTATTGTAGTATACAGGGAAAATATGCTTATTAAGAAACAATGTATCCAATGGGGGGGGAGGGAAGGAGACATATCTAATACTTTAAACAAAAAAGAAATTAAAAAAAAAAAAAAAAACAATATATCTCCCTGGCCATTGTGCTCAATGGTTAGAGCATTAGCTTGCAGACCAAACAGGGTTTGATTTCCAGCCAAGGGCATGTACTTGGGTTGCAGGTCTGGTGTGTCTCACATCTATGTCTCTCCACCCCCCAACCCCTTTCTATTTTCTCTAAAAAATCAATAGTAAAAATATCCTCAGGTAAGGATTAACAAAACAAAAACAAAACCAAAAAAACAAAAACAAAAAAAATCTTAAGTACACTTATCAAACTAGGAATATATGTTGATGGAATTTCTAGTCTCGTAAAAAGTAGTTTTAGAAAGTTTGAAGCTTCTGTTACATTCCTCAATCACAAATTAAAACCCCTACAATTTAGATTATTCAAAAATAATTCCAAATAATTCACTCTGCTGTATGTGGATTATTAAAATCTGAATACAATTTATTAGTGAGATTTTACTACGCACTAAGGCCATTAACCGACTAGAGCTTGGAGCTAAAACGTGGTCTGGTGGTCTAACACAGGCATTTTATAGCTGAAAAAAGAGAGGTAAATGTGTCGAGTCTGAGTCTTATTTTCTAACTCCAAATGCAGTGTTTTTACTAATTGTACTTTGGCTTCTGAAACACTAATCACTGAACAGGATATTACAGTACTTTCATTTACAGGTCAATAAATATCTGAGTGCTTTCTGTATCTGACAATGTTCCAAGAAGGGAATATTCAATTCAAAGAACTCTATGAACACCTCTCACTACAAGGTAAGCTCCATAAGGGCAAAGATTCTTGTTTATTTTGCTCACTTTTATTGCCCTTGAGCCTACAAAATGCCTGGCAAAGAAGTATATTAAAAAACAACAAACGACTGTCATTTAAAAATCACAAAAATTTCCAGGCTTTAAATTGTCACAGAAGTAATTTAAATTTAAGATTTATAGAAGAATAGTTAATAAACTAATGTATAATGTTATGTTTTTAAAAAGTTACAAGTATCTATTAGTAAGATGTTCCCATTTCTTTTTTAACTTTAAAATAGTGTATATCCATCTAAAAGAGGATATTTAAACTTTAAAATAGTGTATAGCTATCTAAAAGAGGGAAGAGAGAGCAGAATTAATCAAGCAATTAATTACTTATCCCTGGTGATGAAATTATAAACAATTTTTCATTTTGGTTTTATGTACTTCCAACTGTTTTTTACAAACACACATATATTAGTAAATCTTGTATTCATTCTGTATAGTAAAAGGAATAAAGAATAAATCTTTATGTCATTCTTGTACAAGAATTGAAGCAAAATACCAAAGCAGACTTTGCAACACTCTTCATTTGCAAAGAATAAGGGAATTAATCAAAAACCACTCAATTAACAAATGAATGCTTACTAATAAGCTTCTAAATGCTTAGAGTAGTATAGTACTCAAATCTCTGCTTATTTCACTTCTCTATAGCAGGTGGTTACTACAAAAGGAAATCCTTTGAAATGAATTATTCCCAGTGTATTTTAACAGGCCCTACAGACATTTTTTGTAGTTATTAACATAGACCCTACTTACCTTCAGATTTTAATTTTGTCAGGACAAAAATCAGGTAGTTGTTAAAATCTGGATATTGATTGAGTTGTTCCAGTTTCTAGAACAAACAGTAGTTAAGGAAACTTCTCAATGTAATCTAAGAAAAAAAAATGAATATTTTTAATGTAAAATCAAGAATTCCTTTTTGTGATATTTTTAACCTTGCATGTTTTTTTAAAGAATCAAGTTATCTTATTAAAACCACCAATATGCTACTCTAAGAACACACTAGTGGTGGTGTTAAACAAATCTCTTAGGTGTTTTTTGGCTGAAATATTAAACTTAATATTTTATGTCAATTATACCCAATACAACGTAAGTCAAGTTCCATCTTTGGCATGCTCAAAATAGCAAAATTATTTTTCAAAATAGAATTTCTTTGAACTTTAAAAACCTCAACCAAAAATATTTTTTAACTTAAAAAGGGCTTTTATTACTCATTTGTTCTTCAGAATTCAAACATTTAAATATTATTTATACACAAGCCTATATACCCAATTTTATTACATAAAGTCAGTATTATGAAATTACTACACTGCAATAGTGCTATAATTGTTTACCACCCCACAGCATCTAACATTTTCAGTGGTACAAATATGCAGATATTTTATCCTGTTGGCAGTCAACAATGACATAATACTGTTTTGTCTTCAAGCCCTCTTAATCTCTATTATGCTTTTTACTAACACCTTTGTTTTAATAGACAGAAATATTCATGTTTTTACTCAATGGACCTAACTATATTAAAAAATTAAATACATAATACAAACTCAAGGTACACTGTTATCTATTACATACTGAAATATCCTCAATATTTAGTGGTCAAAATGTAATCTAAATAACAAAATCACTATCTAGAAAAATTCTAACGTGTGATTGACTACTTTATTTGTCCAAGAAAACCCAATGACTTGGTTTTTTAGTGAATGGCCAAGACTAAGAGCATATTGATAGGCTAGTAATTTTTCATAAGTATTTCCTGACAAGGTTTACTTTCTTACAACTGCCACTATCTGTACATATTATTATTACAATGATCTTTCAAAAAGCTCTCAAGCCTATACAAAAAAATAAAAACAAAAACATTGATACATTCTTTCTTAAAGAGACACAAAATAACAAATTCATCATTAGGCACTTTGAAAATACATAGTAGTGTGGATTTTTAAAACTGGTCGCCTCTATCTACTGAAATTTAATTTGTTCCTTACGAAGATGGATAGGTTGCAAACAATGCTCTAGGTACATAGAATAAACTTTAAATTTGATTGTTAGCCCAAGAACAGCACCAGGCATATAAAAGGTATTTAATAAACACATATTAGAATGTATGATGCTCAGTGCTTTATTAAAAATTACAATGTGGTTCAGGGCTTGGCTAACTTTAAAAAATTGTCATTAAATGTTTAATTCATTAAATATCTTCTGTCATCCTCAATTATAATTGGCTGAGCTATAATGGGGTTTAGGATACAAGCTCCAACAAACTCCAAAACTACTATTCTTCCCTTGGTGTTAATAATATTCAAACAAAATGGCTTTAAAAAAATTCAGGCAGACTTCCACTTTTAAATGAGCAGCACAGCACATTAACCAAGAAGATATGATATGAAGTTACAGCAATGCAGTACTTCTTTGAAACTTATGGTGCTTTCTTTTTTGTGTGTGTACACACACACACACACACACACACGCACGCAGATTTCCTTGACTGTTTTAAATTAAGCCCAAACTACACTAAAGTAGCTTGCTTACCCAATTCTGTATTTAGTAAATTTTGCTGCTTATTAACAATAAATATCAAGAGACGTTTTTGCAAATATAGCAGACAAGTTTTTTTGAATTAACTTCTTTGGTCTTAAAATAACATAAAAAGGTTATTTATGATCAGGTGAGTGAATGTGTTTCCTGTATTGGCTCCAATTAGAATTCACCCGTTGTCCACAGTTTAGAGCACTACTGAAAGCACACACAGCAGGTTTTGCTGCTTCTCTAATCCTTTCTGTCTCTAAAACCGTAGCAACAGGACCGCTACACCAGCTAACTCCATAAAGGCTTGGATAATTGAACAGACATCCTGAGCCAAAGACTTAAAAAGAAAATCTCATTTGGGAGCCAGCAACAGGTGTTTGTACGAACAGGCCAGGGACGAGGTCTGAAAGCCCCCACCTCTAAGTCTCCAACCCTTTCAGGGCAAGGGCCTGGAAGTAACCCCAGGCCCCAACCGGCGGCAGTTCAAACCCCGCGCCAGCTCCACCCCATTTCTGGCCGGACGCTCGGCGGGAGCCCCGCCGCCCAAGCAGCGCCCACCACCTGGCCTCCCGCTCGGCCCGCAGGCCCAGCCGGGCCAGGCGCGTGGTGTGCGCCGCCGCCGGGGTCCGCGCCGGCCACGCCGCCGCGCCGCTCCCCACCCCCTCCGGGCCGGCGAGGGGCGGGCCGGGACGTGGCGGCCCGATAGGCGCCCGGGCCGCAGTCGCGGGCGGCGGCCCGGAGCCTCTGCCTCGCGCGGCCCGGAAGTCGGCAGTCCGGATGGATCCGAGCACAAGGGCCGCGTGCGCGGGGCTCGGGCCGGGCGGCGGCGGGCGGGCGGGCGGGCGGGCGGAGGGAGCTGGGAGCGGGCGGGGGAGGGGCGGCGGGAGCCACCCGGCGCCGGGAGCGGGCCCGGCGGGGCCGGCTGCGCGGGCGGCGGCGAGGCCTCGGGAAGGATACTTGTTGCACGGTTCTTTGGATGGTGGTGTCTGGGGACTGGGACTCCTTCAGCAGCTGCAGGATTTGCTGAAGTCCTTGCTCGTCAGGTTTCCACTCATACTCCATTTTGGTTTGCTGCAAATAAAGCCAGAGACAGGAAGAGACGGAGCAAATGTTACTACTCCCCATGCACAGGCCCGAGGGCTTCCCGCGCCCAGCAACCGCTTCCTCCCCGCCCGAACGACCCCTGCGCTCCCCAGACGCCGCGGACCTGTCTGGGTCCCCGAAGGAAGTCTCCGACCGCGAAACCCGGGGAACTGAGCCTGGCAGTTCGGCCGCCGATATCTGCTGCTCCAGCCGCCGCGGCCGCCGAGCGCAAGGAGCCGACCAGACTGAGTCACCGCGAATTTGCAATCTGGCCCCAGATCCGCTCACGGGAGCCCCTGGGTCCTAATGCCACGCAGTTTTCTTCAAGCCTATCCTAGTGTTCCGTCAGATTAATAATGATTTAAGGGATAATTAGAAGTCAAGTCCTTATCACCCCCACCCCGGCGAAACACTAAGAGATCTAAATTTGGTTATTAGTCATTTTAAGTTAACATGGTGCAAAATAGATGACTGAAACAGTAAAAAACAACAACAAAAACAACGGCTAATTTCCCTGACAGCTGAAATAAAAATGTTTACATTTCAATTTGATATACAAAACCAAATCCTAATAGTCTCAAATATTAAAAATGCATTGCAATCAAAACTCACACCTAAATAAACACTAAATGTTGCATTTACATTTGCAGAACTTGACTTTTAAATGCATTATTTACTAAAATAAAGTTCAAGTTTTGAAGTCTTATATTACATAAAATAAATTCCATCTGAAATAACCACTGTTCACAACTAAGGGTTTTGGGCTGAAGGACAAAGAAAAATACTGAAATTTACAATTGATAGTGTTTACTTTTATTAAAGTGTTTTCTTATATTTTCTTATTTGATTCTCTCATTGGGGAGGAATTATTTGCCTCATGTGGCAACCATGAGACAAAAAAAGATCTGAGCAAATTAACCAAAAGATTAGGAGGAGAATATAGGTTTCTTATACAAGTTGCATCTGTTATCATCAATTCAAACTATTGTATCAATGAAAGTTTCATTGAAAGTAAATGCTTAAAAACTGCCGAGACCGATTTGGCTCAATGGATAGAGCGTCGGCTTGGGGACTGAAAGGTCCCGGGTTCGATTCCGGTCAAGGGCATGTACCTTGGTTGCGGGCATATCCCCAGTGGGGGGTGTGCAAGAGGCAGCTGGTCGATGACTCTCTCTCTCATGGATGTTTCTAGCTCTCTATCTCTCTCCCTTCCTCTTTGTACAAAATCAATAAAATATATTTAAAAAAAAGTAAATGCTTAAAAACAAAACTTAAGTATAAAGTATGAATTATTTGTTAAAAAAAAAAAATTGAGTCTGCTGAAGGAGTGGATTTTTCATTTGGCCAGACTAGTACGTGATGGTTTGACAGCTGAAATTGTTCCCTTCCTAGGAGTACCTTCCTAGTAGGGGTTAAAAAAACAGACTTTACTGCATCTCTCATTGGCATTATTTTCTTTTCTTTTAACCTTTTCCTCTCTCCTTCTTCACCCTTATTTTCTGCTTAATATCCTATAATCCTGCTTTGCTCACCACCTTCTACAGACTTCCTAAACAACCCCCCCCCCAAACTGCCATATTTAAAACAAAAAAAGGATCAAAACATATCTATTAATAATATTGTAGTGTTTTTATTCCAGGCTTTATTTTGTATGTTTACATGTACGTTATATTTTAGAATGAGATTGTCCTGTTTCTTGCCCAACTTTATAATATTAAGCATTTAAAGTATTATAAAAATAATAGCATTCCACTGTATTGCTGTGCCATTATTTTAATACTTTTTTTAAAAAAATATTTTATTGATTTTTCAGAGAGGAAGAGAGAGGTATAGAGAGTTAGAAACATCGATGAGAGAGAATCATCGATCAACTGCCTCTTGCACACCCCCTACTGGGGATGTGCCCGCAACCAAGGTACATGCCCTTGACCGGAATCGATAAAAGTAAAAACATCTAGTTTCTTCCCTGTTAAAGAGGTGGTAAAAATATAGTTTAAAAAGCAGGCAGAAGGTCTGGATTCAACCCACTAAGTTTATTTATTTTTATTTTTTATTTTTATTAAGATATTATATGTATTCATACCTTACCAATCCCCACCCCCACCCCATCCCCAAACATGCCCTCCCTCCCCATAGTTTTTCCTTCATAATGGTTATGCTTATATGCATGCATACAAGTCCTTTGGTTGATCTCTTATCTCCCCCATATCTCCCTACCCTCCCCGCTGTAATTTGACAGTCTGTTTGTTGCTTTACTGTCTCTGTATCTATCTTTTTGTTCATCAATTTATAATGTTTCTTATAATCCATAAATGAGTGAGATCATGTGGTATTTCTCTTTCATTGACTGGCTTATTTCACTCAGCATAATGTTTTCCAATTCCATCCAGGTCGCTGCAAATGATAAGAATTCCCTTTTTTATGGCAGCATAGTATTCCATTGTGTAGATGTACCATAGCTTTCTGATCCAATCATCTGCTGACAGGCACCTAGGCTGTTTCCAAATCCTAGCTATTATAGATTGTGCTGCCATGAACGTAGTAGGAATGCATATATCCTTTCTGATTGGTGTTTCTAGTTTCTTGGGATATATTCCTAGGACTGGGATTACTGGGTCAAATGGGAGTTCCATTTTTAATTTTTTGAGGCAACTCCATACTGTTCTCCACAGTGGTTGCACCAGTCTGCACTCCCCCCAGCAGTGCAGGAGGGTTCCTTTTTCTCCGGATCCTCGCCAGCACTTGTCATTTGCTGATTTGTTGATGATAGCCATTCTGACAGATGTGAGATGGTACCGCACTACTGTTTTGATGTGCATCTCTTGGATAATTAGTGACTTTGAGCATGTTTTCATGTGCATCTTGGCCTTCCTTCCGTCTTCTTTTGAGATTCTATTTAGGTCCATTGCCCATTTTTTAATCGGGTCATTTATCTTCCTTTTATTTAGTTGTATAAGCTGTCTGTAGATGTTGGAGATTAAACCTTTATCAGTGATAACATTTGCAAATAAGTTCTCCCATACAGTGGGGTTTCTTGTTGTTTTGTTGATGGTTTCTTTTGCTGTAAAAAAGCTTTTTATTTTGATGTAGTCCCATTTGTTTATTTTCTCTTTAGCTTCCATTGCCCTAGGGGCAGTATCAGTGAAGAAATCCTTTCAGCATATATCTGAGATTTTGCTGCCTGTGGATGCCTCTAGTATTTTTATGGTTTCCTGTCATGTTTAAGTCCTGTATCCATTTGAGTTTCAACCACTAAGTTTAAATCCTATTCTTCCACCTACCGTGTTTCTCCGAAAATAAGACATCCTCCGAAAATAAGACCTAGCGCATGGAAACATAAGACATCCCTTGAAAATTAACACCTAGTGCAACTTTGGGAGAAAAAATTAATATAAGACACTGTCTTATTTTCGGGGAAACAGGGTAGTAGCTGTGAAAACCTAGACAGTTAATCCCCCTGAGCCTCAATCCCCCAACTATAAAATGATAATATACCAATTCTGTAATAGGATTATAGGTAGCTGCTTGGCATACAGTATGATTTAAAATACAACAGTTTTGCCGGGACCGGTTTGGCTCAGTGGATAGAGCGTCGGCCTGCGGACTGAAAGGTCCCGGGTTCGATTCCGGGCAAGGGCATGTACCTTGGCTGCGGGCACATCCCCGGTGCGGGGTGTGCAAGAGGCAGCTGATCGATGATTCTCTCTCATCGATGTTTCTAACTTTCTATCTCTCTCTCTTCCTCTCTGTGAAAAATCAATAAAAAATATATTTAAAAAAAAAAAAAAAAAAAAAAAAAAATAAAATAAAATACAACAGTTTTAAATGTTACATCAATGGATTTTAATGCCTACAAGATAAAATCTAATTTCTACTCATGAAAGAAGCTCTTTATGATCTGGTGCATAAAGAGTTGTCCCCTTTAGGGACAACTTTAGTCTCTTACCACTCAACCTCCAACTTTATGCTCCAGCAGCAACATCAACTGCAACTTTTATACCTCTGAGCATCTGAATAGGGACTGCTGATCTGGAATGTCCTCTTTAAATTTGACCAACTGGTAAACTCCTTCTTACTGTTCAGAGTTATGCTCATCTATTCAATTTCCAACTATTTATTAGGAGTCTTCTTTGGCCCTATGATTGATACTAGATACTATTTATCTTCTTTGACATTATTCTAGGACCTCCCCAGAAGACTAAAGTGTTTTTTTTCATTACAGACCTATACTTTAAAGCTTTTTCCATCTTAGAAACTGTCATATTGGTTTATAATTATTTGTAGTTTTGTTTTAGCAATAGATCATGTGTTCCTTGAAAGCAATGACAGTGTCCTTTTGCCTTCTTTGCCTGGCAAAGTCTAACTCAATAGATAGTTGTTGAATAAATACTATTGTTACTGCCATGAATTGAACTAAGTAAATATTAACTTGAGCAACTACCATTTGCTGAGCACTGAAGATTCTAAGATCTGTAAAATATCATTCTTGTTCTCACTAAGTTCTCCTTTTAGTGAGAGGGACAGATGCGCCGTCTATGAATGAAGTATGTGAATGAAGTGCAATAGGAAGAGAGAAGAAAGCAAAGCAAATATATTCGGCCAGGAAAGAGAAAAGTGCTTTTCCCTTATCTGGTTTAGAGCTTTTTTTTTTTTTTTTTTTTTTTTTTTGCTTTTTATATTCTTTTCTAATTTCAACTAAATTCAAACAACTATTTACTAAGAAGTCAGATGTTTTCACCTATATTGTGAATCACTACCAATGTGATAAATGTTGCCATTAGTGACGGGATTTCCCATAATGGTGAACAACTCTTGATAGGTTCCAAACAAAATAAGGTACAGACTTCCTTCAATAATTTTGTGCCCAGAAAACTCAGCATTTAATTAAAAATCCTTAAAAAAAAAAATTCCATGTGCATATATAAAATAGTGATAGGTTCTAGGTTGTGACTATAGCTATGAATATGTGTTTTTTTCCACCCATGTGA